ATCAGTGGCCCTGGTGCACACACCAATCTCTCCTAATTAAAGCCCAGCTCCTCGTTATTCCCTGGGGAGTTTTGTTTGGAAGCTCCAAGCTGCTCTCAGTCACCCCAAAAAGTGAGAGGAGGGAGCACGAGGCAGAGGCTCAACGCCCTGAGACATTCCCATGTATCAGAGGGATGAAGGGCAGCCTCATCATCCTCATCTCAGTGCCCACAGCCTTGTCCTCACCTCCCACAGGCAGCAGCTCTTCCTTCAGCCACCTCCAAACTCAGCTTTTGTCTCCCCTGTTTTGCAGCTCCAAGCAAGGCTCCATGCTTGAGGGATTCTGAGGCATCTGTGCCAATATTTGGGTCATTTTCAAGTAATTGGTCGTGAGGGTCAGGACTGGAGGAGGTTTGGGGCTGCTGAACTCCCGGGTTAGGGAGGAGCAAGGAATGGAAATGGATTCTTGCCTTGAGATGCTCAGCAAAACGTGCAGGTCCCCAGCTGCTCTGGGGTTAGACTGCAGCTCCCAGAGCCCAGCACAAAGCACAGCACAAGCTGAGCAAAACGAGCCCTCTGGCTCTGAGAGGAGCTGCAAATGTGGGTCATGTCCCGATTCCCCTTCCCAGTGTCCCCAGCAGCCACGGCAGAGGAGCCTCTGTCACATCCCGTGCTGGCTCATGGCACAGGCAGTGCCAACCTGGGCACACACAGCCAGAGCCCTGCCCAGGCAGCAGGGCCAGGCCCAGCTCGGGTGCAGTGCCCATCCTGTGACAGAATCTCTGTCCCCAGCTCGTTTTTCAGACAGGTAAACACGAGGGGAGAGCGCTCAGGCAGCCTGAGCTGGGCACAGCCACACTGCTGCCTCCCAGACCTGCAGCATCCTTGGTCCCAGCAGGGACTGTGCCAGCTGCTGGTGGCTCCAGGTGACAGAGGGCCAGCTCAGAGCAGGTCACCACTGCTCAGCAGTGCCCTGGTGTCACAGGACAGTGATGAATTTGAGGAGACACCACATGGCTTCTAAAGGGAAGGATAACTCCGTGACACGAGGCAGCAGCAGCAGGGAAAGCAGGAAGAAGCACTCGGATCTGCTGGCTGCAAACAGGCAGGGAGATCTTTCACAGATGGACATGAAGCCATTCTGCTGTCTCTCCAAACCACCAGTTTGGGCACTGCCTGGCTCAGCCCTGTCACACCACAGGGATGACAGGTCAGGGATGGCTCCCAAAGCCCCCTCCAGCCCCTCTCTGCCAGCCCAGCTCTGCACCTCCTGCTCTCAACAAGCTCTGAGCTTCTGTGGAGCACTGGGAAAGTCTTTCCAAGGCAGGAAACAAAAGGATTCCCTCCCATCTTCTGGCCAGCAGCAGCACAGGCCACATCCCCAAACGCTGAGCTGTGAGGAGCATGTGACACCATGGCCTTGAGCTCACTGGCACAACGGGGGCCTGCCAAGGCCAGCAGGTCCCAGACCTTGGCAACTGCAGCTGGAGGAGCTCGAATTCCTGTCCCTGAGGAGCCACATCCTTTAGGGATGGTTGCAGCAGGCCGGGCAGAGCAGATGGAGCCTCTCAGGCCTCCCAAGGCCAGGCTCTGCAGGCAGATCCAGGACTCCAGCGGGGCTGCCCGAGCTCTGGAGCTGCTGAGGCTGAAATGCAGCAAAGCAGGGGCCCAGAGCAGGCTGCCCAGCACATCTCCAGCCTTCAGAGCACGCCTGCTCTGATTTCCACGCCTCTCCAGAGAGCCAGGCTGGCCGAGGGAGCGGGGGCAGATGGCTGCTGTCTGTGCTGGCAAAACAAAGCTGTCCCAGTGCCACCCCCGGAGCTGCCCTCGGCTGGCAGCGGGCACAGGGACCATCCCAGCTCCCTGAGATGCTGGGGAGCAGCTCCCTTTGGATGCTGGGCTCCCAAGCCAAGAGAGCAGGTGCCTGTTCTGCCTGCCAGCTCCTGGTGTGCTCTGAATTAGCTGCTCTTTGCTGTGATTCATTAATCACTCAGTGCTCAGGAAGGAAACTCAGATCTCTACACCCAACATCTCCCCGAGTCTTACTCAGTGCTGTGCTGAATAAAGGATTGCCAGCAGATGTTCACGGGTCGGGAGAGAAACTCGGGGTGCAGAGGGAAGGGATTGCAGAGAGGGCTTTGCTTTGGCTGCAGGGATGAAAACCAAAAGGCCACTGGACACTGGGGGGTCAGTGAGCCCCAAAACACCAGACCTGGAACAAACTAAAGGCTAAAGGTGCTAAAGGCACCCAGAAACATCCACGTGTTGCTGAATCACCTCCAGCAATGCAGAGCCCCCCGGGATAATGCTGTGGGACAGCAGGGAGTCACAGCAGAGCTGGCATCCTGCACAGAGAGCCACCAAAGCAAGGCCACTGCTCCTGCGGGCTGGCACAGAAGGGACAGCCAGGGACAGCCAGGGACAGCCACCTTCTCCTTCCTGCCGAGGTGCAGGGCTGTGTTCCCCGGAGAGGGAGGCGTTTGCTCAGGCAGCAGAACCAGCCCAGCTGCCAGCCTGGCCGGGAGCAGCTCCAGCTCCAGCAGCGATGCTGTGGCTCAAGGAGAGCCCTCTGCCCTGGCAGCCACTGCAGAGGCCACCAAAAAGCTTGGAAAAGCCAGGAAAACGCTTCTCCCGGTGCCCTTCAGCTGCCAGCCCCGAGCCCCCGAGGGCAGGGGACAGGGCCGGGCCAGCCCCGCTCTGCCCGGAGCTGCGGCTCTCCCCTTTTCCAGCGGGATCCGGCCAGGAGCCGGCAGAGGACAGGGGAGGAGGGCACAGGGATGCTGCCGGCCCCGGGGGCGATGCCGCGGTGCAGAGAGAGCGGCCACAGAGGCTGGGAAGGGCATGGGTCGTTCCAAACCCCTGCAAATATTTGGGAACCACACCAGTTGTGCCAAAACCTCGGGAAGCGGCGCCGCTGGTCCCCCCACCCCGGTCGTGCTGCGTGGTACCCGAAAAACAAACTTGCTCACAGAGGAGGGATGCGCCGGGAGTGATGGAGCGGCAGCTCCTGCGGGGGTCCTGCCATCATCCCCGGTGACCCCTCCGGTGTGTCCCCATCATCCCCCGGTGACCCGTCCGGTGTGCCCCCATGCCGTTACCCCTCCGCTCCCCCTCCTCCCGCGGGTCTGAGCGCCCCGGCCCTGCGGGGACAGCGGGAGAGAGAGGAGGAAGAAGAGAGAGGAGGAAGAAGAGGGAGAGGAAGAGGCAGACGGAGAGGGAAGAGCACAGGAGGTGCGGGCGGCAGGGCCGTGCCCCGGCGGTACTCACGGCTCCGGGGCGGCCAGGGCCCAAGCCGGGGGATGCTGCGGGTCGCCGCTACCCCCGCACCGCCGCCGCCGGCCCCGGCCGGGGATTCGGGGCGGGCCGGGGGCGGGCAGGTGCGCGGCGGAGCCGGGGCGGCCCCGCGGCTGCGGCTTCCTCCGTCACCCGGAATAACCCCGAGCTCCGCGTGTCCGTGCGCGGGCCCGGCGCAGCGAACCGAGCGGCACCGGCCCCGCTGCGGGCCCGGCACCGGCACCGGTACGGGGGCGGGGCCAGCGGAGGGGGCGGGGCTAATCGACAGAACAAGGCGGGGCGATGAGGATAGACCACGCCCCCGATGCCGCACAAAGGGCGAGGGGCGGGGTTAGTGAGGGGGCGGGGTTAGTGCTGGTGGGCGTGGTCTGGAGGGGTGTCCCAAAATAATTTAGGCAGGGAAGGAGTTTTGGGGTGATGGAGGCCGACCTGGGGCCGATCAGCAGCTTGTCACCAGCCAGAGCACTGAGTGCCACCGCCAGGAGCGCCTGGGACACCTGCAGGGATGGGCGCCCTGCCAAGGCCTGGTCAGCCTTTCCACGGAGAGATTCCTCCTGGTGTCCAACCTCAAACCAGCCCTGGCGCAGCTTAAAACTCTGTCCTCATGTCCTGTCACTTGTTACAGGACAGAGACTGACCATACCTGGCTGCAGCCTGCTGTCAGGTTGGTGTGCAGGGTGACAAGGTGCCCCCAGCCTCCTTTTCTCCAGGCTCAGCTCCTTCAGCTCACAGGATGTGTGGTGCAGACCCTTCCCCAGCTCCATTCCCCTCCCTCGGACACACTGCAGCCCCTCGGTGTCCTTCCAGTGGACACACAGCACCCCAATACCCCTCCTTGGACACATTCCAGCGCCTCAATACCCTTCCAGTGGACACACAGCACCCCAATACCCCTCCCTGGACACATTCCAGCCCCTCAATACCCTTCCAGTGGACACACAGCACCCCAATACCCCTCCCTGGACACATTCCAGCCCCTCAATACCCTCCCAGTGGACACACTGAACCCCAATACCCCTCCTTGGACACATTCCAGCCCTTCAATACCCTCCCAGTGGACACACTGAACCCCAATATTCTTCCAGTGGACAACACACAGCCCCCCAATACCCTCCCAGTGGACACACTGAACCCCAATACCCCTCCTTGGACACATTCCAGCCCTTCAATACCCTCCCAGTGGATATACAGCACCCCAATATTCTTCCAGTAGACAACACACAGCCCCCCAATACCCTCCCAGTGGACACACTGAACCCCAATACCCCTCCTTGGACACATTCCAGCCCTTCAATACCCTTCCAGTGGACAACACACAGCAGCCCAATACCCTCCCAGTGGACACACGGAACCCCAATACCCTCCCAGTGGACACACAGCACCCCAATACCCTTCCTCGGACACATTCCATCCCTTCAATACCCTCCCAGTGGACACACTGCAATGTCCCTCCCGATCTGAGGGCCCAGAACCGGTCAGGGCACTCGAGGCTCGGTCTCCGCAGTGCGGAGAAGGGCGGTAATCCCATTCTCCAGCCCGCTGCCCGCGCCATCCCCGATCCCGCCCGGGAATGTCCGGGATGGAGAGACCAGCGGGAGGGGCGGGGCCAAAGCAGCGGGGCGGGGCCAGTGTTGTTGTGGGGCGTGGTTAAGCATGAAAACATACTGATTTGCATATTCGTAGGCGTGGCACAGTTGCCCCGCCCCGGCCGCGCTACACGCCGGGACCGGAAGCGGCGGCCGCGTGGCGGAGGCAACATGGCGGCCCCCGGGAGGAGGTGAGCGCCGCACCGGGGGAGGTCCGGGAGGGTCCCGGAGGGCATCCAGGGGGGTCCCGGGCACGCCGGGATGAGCCTCCCCCTCACACACGCTGCTTTCCCCGCTCTCTCGCTTGCTTCTTCCCTCACACACGCTCCTTTTCCTCTCACACGCTCCTTTCTCCCTCACACCCTCCTTTTTCCCCTCACACCCTCCTTTCCCACTCACTCACTCCTTCCACTCTCACACCCTTCTTTCCCCGCTCTCACGTTCTTTTTCCCCTCACACACTCCTTTCTCTCCTCACTCACTCCTTTCCCTCTCACACTCTCCTTTTCCCCTCTCACGCTCCTTTTCCCCTCACGCTCTCCTTTTCCCCTCACACTCTCCTTTTCCCCTCACACTCTCCTTTTCCCCTCACACTCTCCTTTTCCCCTCACACTCTCCTTTTCCCCTCACACTCTCCTTTTCCCCTCACACTCTCCTTTTCCCCTCACGCTCTCCTTTTCCCCTCACACTCTCCTTTCCCTCTCACGCTCTCCTTTTCCCCTCACACTCTCCTTTTCCCCTCTCACGCTCCTTTTTCCCCTCAGGAAGCTGGCGGAGCTGAGCCTGGACGAGTTCCTCGCTGCCTGCTCGGACTCGGAGCATGACGGCGGCTGGGAGGAGGAGGAGGAGGAGGAGGAGGAGGAAGGCGGCCGGGCCCTTAACGGCGCTGCGAGGCGGAGACAGCCGGGTGGAAAGGCGGCCCAGGGGCTGCAGGCACGGCCGGGCAGGTGAGGGGCGGCTGGGGGGGCTCAGCATGGAGAAAAGGAGCTTATGTTGCTTTCCACAACTCCCTGAGAGGAGAGGACAGCCCCAGGTGGGGCTGTGCTCCCAGGGAACGGGGACAGGAGGAGAGGAACGGCCTCAGTGTCAGCAGGGCAGGCTCAGGGTGGGCATCAGGAGGAATTTCTGCATGGAAAGGGTGATTTGGCATTGCCAGGCAGGCTCAGGGTGGGCATCAGGAGGAATTTCTGCATGGAAAGGGTGATTTGGCATTGCCAGGGAGGTGGTGCAGTCCCTGGAGCAACTCTGAGGAACTGAGATGGTTTTTTGTGATGGTTTTCCCAGGTGTTTTCATCTATCCCAGTGCAATCTGCTGTCTTGCTATCAAGATTTCTTAACCCTTAACGAAATGTTTTTGTCACAGCCTGAGCAGAACTCTGAGCAGTGAATGAAGGATTCATTCTCTCCCAGCAGGAAGAAGGGAAAGGCCTCAGAGCACAAAGATCAGCTCTCCAGGCTGAAGGACAGAGACCCCGAGTTCTACAAGTTTCTGGAGGAGAACGATCGCAAGCTGCTGGATTTTGATGCCTCAGACAGCTCAGAGGAGGAGGAGGCTCTGCACAGACCCCCTGCCACCCTCGAGGTACCTGGCTGGGCTCAGACACCTCAATTCCATCTTCTGTGTCCCAGTGCCAGCCCTGGATGATTTGGCTTGGAAAGGGCCTTAAAACTCATCCAGCTGCACCCCCAGCAGCTGGCACTGCCCCAGGCTGCTCCAAGCCCTGTCCAGCCTGGCCTTGGGCACCTCCAGGGCTGGAGCAGCTTCCCTGTGCCAGCCTCACACTGGGAGTTTATTCCCAATATCCCGTGTGAACCTTTCCTGCTTTGCACACAGTGCTGGGAGCAGCTTTGGTAAATCAGCCCTGCCTGCCTCCCTCCTCAGCAGTGCTCAGTGAAACAGCCAGGGCTGTCAAACCTTTCCTCAGTCCCTCCTGCTGGTCTCTCTAGGAAGCCAGTGATGAGGATGAAGATGATGAAGAGGAAGAACAAGAAAAAGTCAAAAGGAAGAAGGTTTCCCTCATCCATGTGAGCTTGAAGATGGTGGAGGAGTGGAAGAAAGCTGCCCAGGTGAGCAGGGAGTTGGAACACACAGCACTGGAGAGTTCCTCCTGCCTGTAAAAGGGCCAACTTGGGATTTGTTCATCTGCCACAAAAATTTATTTATTTATTTGTTCATCTGCCTCAAAATTTATTTATTTATTTGTTCATCTGCCTCAAAATTTATTTATTTATTTGTTCACCTGACACAAAATTTATTTATTTATTTGTTCACCTGGCACAAAATTTATTTATTTGTTCATCTGGCACAAAATTTATTTATTTATTTGTTCACCTGGCACAAAATTTGTGTCCCAAGCTCCCAGAGCTCTTGTGCCTTCAGCATGACTTTGGGATGTAACATTCAAGTACTGCCATCCCATATGAAGGGGAAGCTGCAGAAATGTGGCTCAGAAGAGGCCAGAATGATCAAATTTGGGTTTTTCACCCTCTGGCAGCTCCAGGAGCTTTCTTAGTCCCATATTTAGTAGCTGAGGGGAATGAAGCTCAAACTGGAAGGTGCTTGCAGCTGATTAATTCCTTCTGAAGCCTCAGCAATTAAAAGCCAGTTTCAGGGGAGGTGAGGGCTCTGAGTTTGTTAACCCTGCCCTGAGGCTTGGGGATGGAGCTCTTTGCCATCAAATTCCCAGTGAATTCCAGTACCCCTGTCCCAGCCAGGAGCTCCAGGAGATCCCTTGCTTCTCCTCAGCACCCCCTTTTCTTCTTTCCCCAGAGGAATCTCACCCCAAAACTCTTCCATGAGATCACCCAAGCCTACAAGGCAGCTGTGGCCACCACCAAAGGTGACAGTGGTGGTGACCCCAGCAAGTTCCAGGTGACTGACACTGCAGGTGAGGGAAGGGAGATCATCTGGGGGGGACTCGAGCTGTGGGAGGGAGTGGGGGTGAGCCCTGGGAGGAGTTAATTCACCTTTCACTGCACTCAGGAGCTTGTCTTGCTGTGCTGCTCTGGGAGCTCTTCCTTCAAGGGTGGGTTTTGGTGCTGCTTCCATGGGGAGGTGGCCCCTGTGCCTTCTGATCTGTGATAAAAAATTGAATATAAGGCAGACTGGGGGTTTCTAGAAGGAAATGCAGGAGTTCTGCCGTGGAAATCGCTGGCTTCAGTTCCTCAGGGACCTCTTTTCCCTCGAGGAAAACCAGGAGTACATGGAAAATCACTTAGAAATGCTTTCCTGGCTTCTTTCACCCAGTGTTCAACGCCCTGGTGTCCTTCTGTATCCGGGACCTCTTCCACCACCTGCACAAGCTGCTGCTCCCCAAAGCCCCCAAGAACAAGCTCAAGTAAGTCTGGGGGGGTTTGAGACGTTCAGGAAAGCTGCTGGAGATTTCCAGGGCTGCCTTTGGACCTGGGCAAGGGGTGCCAGCTCTTCCCAAACACTGAGTGCCTGCTGGTGCTCACAGGGCTCTTCTTTTCTTCCCCTCATGGAAGAAGGAGGCAAGGAATTGATCTCACTCTTTGTTTGGCTGCTGAAATCTGATTTTGTGGTTTTTTTTTTAAAGCTAAACCCAACTCTTGCTCCTTTCCAGAATGGTTCTCCCTTCCACCAGCCCCCTCTGGGGAAAGCTACGACTGGACATCAAAGTTTATCTTGGCTGTACCATACAAGTAAGAAACATCATCATTTTCTGTTTGTGGGGTCAGTCTGTGCCTTGCTGGGCTGTTTAGGATATTTTGGGGTGAGGCAGGTGGGGTTTGCCCCTCTGAGATTTGTGTTCATTGTTTCCCTGGGTTGTTTTGGAATTATTTGGTCCAATTAACAATTTGGAGGTTCGGAGGATGCTTGTGTCAGAATAGGTAAGGCAGTAAAGAAGGGTTGAATTAGCATTCTGGCAGCTCTCTTTGTTTTAATTTGTCTGGCAGATTAATATTTAATAGGCTTTAAAGGAGTTTGCAGTCTGTGTTCCTGCATTCTGCATCATTAATTCAGTTTTTAGTGCTGTGATCTCTGCACTTGAGGCAAACACTGAGATGTTCTCTTGGTGACCTCACATGAGGCATCTCTGACTGATAAAGTTCCATCCCATCCGTGCAAAATTTCTGGTGTTTCAGAGATGATTTGTGGATTATTTCTGAAGGAAACGCATCCCCCACTTATTTTTTTTTTGAGATTGCTTCGTTAGCATCCCCAAATTGGAATATTAAAGCCAAACCAGCACTGATTCTTCAGCAGCTGAGGGAAGGGATGCCAGGAGTGACAGCCCAGGAGCTGCTGTGCCTCAGCTGGGAGCTGGCACAATGACTTAGCAGAAAGAGCAATTTGATCAGGAGAGCTTTTTACTTTTTTTTTTCCCCTCAAGCTGTGGTGCCTCTCTCCAGCAGCAGAGCATTGCAGACAAGGAAAAGCTGGGAATGCAGTCCCTGGGAGCAATCCCTGCTCCTGGGCTGGCTCCTGAGAGCCCTCAGTCCCAGCCTTCACCACAGTGGGTTTTCTGGCACTATTTCTGGACAAAATCTTCTCCTTTTGGTGTCCTCGGCCATGTCTGCTCAGTCCAGAATCCTTGCAGAGCAAGGAGGAGGATGAGCAGGCAAATTAAATGTGGACAAAATGCCTGTGCTGCTTCCAGAGCCTCTCAGATCACCTGGAGCTCACCTTGTTTTCAGGTTGGAAACTGGGTTTGTCTGCAGTGAGCTGAGCTGGACAAGCTGCAGACACAGAGATTTGGTTCTTCACATTTTGTCAAAGCCTTTCCTTGAGGCACAGTTAACCCAAATACCCAAAGAATTCCAGCTTCCCACTGAGAAATCCTGGAGAAATCCAGTGTGATGTTTCCTTGTGCAGGTGATGTTTCCTTGTGCAGACTGAGGGTGAGTTTGGCCATTCTGTTGTCCTGCACTGCAGATAAACTGAGATTTTAGTGTCCACGGAGGTGCTGTGTGCTGAGCTCAGGGGCCATGAGCCATGCAGGGGCAGCAGCTGAGCTCCCATTCCCAGGCTGAGGGAGTGCAGGGCAGCTCTTCAGCCTCTGCTCCTCCCCTGATCCAGCTGTGGGGTTTGTGGGAGCGCCTTCCTGCCTGGGCAGTGTTTGGAACCAGCGAAATGCAGCTGGCACAGGGAGAGGACGAGCCCTGCCTGCCAGCTGGGGTGTTCTGCTCTCCTCCACAGCTGCTGTCGTGCCTGACAGAGGCCTCGGTGGGTGCAGCAGTCCTGCAGCACGTGAGCTCCACAGTTCCATACTACCTGTCCTTCCCAAAGCAGTGCCGGGCCCTGCTCAAGGTAAGGGGACGTGCTGGGATGTGCCATTGGCATCTGAGGTGCTTTTTCCACCTTTCATCTGAGCATTTGTGGTGTTTGGGCTGGATCCCCTGGCAGTCAGTCCCTTGTAGTGTTGCCTTGCTTTGCTGCTGTTCCTGGAGAGGATTCCTGCCTCTCTCCAGGTGCCACGAGGTGATGCCAGGCTGAGGTGAGTGTGTGGGTGGCTCTGTTTGTAGCTGCTGCTCCCCAGGGAGGTGTTTTGGGAAGCTGCTTCCTCCTCCCAGATGGAGGAATTGCTGCCAGGCCCTGGGAATGTCTGTGCTGCCTCTCCACTCGGGGAGCTGGGGGTGGAATATTTCTGTGGCAGCTCAGTCACAACTGCTGAGCGTGAGCAACAACACAGGAGGTGTGGGGAGACACCCAGGGCACAGGGTGGCATCTGAGTGCAAACTGCAGCTCTGCAAGGAGGCAGGGAAGCCTTTGGTGGAGGAGATGGCTCGAGTCATGCAGGGCTGGAGGCTGGCACACCTCACAGCTGCTGCAGGCATTTCTGAGAGGGCTTTTCCAGCCCTGCAGTGAGCCCTCTCTGAGCTGTGCAGCTGAGCTGACCGCTTGTGGGGGGCACCAGGTGCTTCCTGCCAGGGCCAGGTGAACCTGGGGGAGATGGAGTCACTCAGGAGAGTTAAAATCTGTGTTTAACCACACAAATAAAAGGTGTGTATTTTTTAGAGGTGCTGGTTTTGGATGGGTTCCTTTATTGATCATGGAGGCATCAGCCTGGGCTGTTGTGTGGTGTCCCAGTGAGGACAGAAGGGCTGCCAGTGACTGACTGACAGCACATTGTGTCACCTCTGTGTCACCTCTGTGTCCCCTGCCTCCTGGCTGCCCTCTTGCTGGGAAGGAGGGAGGTTCAGGCCTGTCTGTGGCCAGCCAGGAGCTCTTTGTGCCTTCACTCACGTGTCTGTGTGGTTTATCCCAGCAAACCATCACTCTGTGGAGCACAGGGGAGGAGACAGTCAGGGTCCTGGCCTTCCTGGTGCTGAACAAGATCTGCAGGTACAAGAAGGAGGTTTACCTCAGCCCCCTGCTCAAGGTAAGCCTGGCTTTGCTGAGATCTGCACCTTTTCTTCCTCAGGTTGTGTGCAAATACCTCAGAGCCTTGAGCTGCAGGTGAGCAGGGGCTGGAGGTGATGCTGTCAGCCTCCAGAAAACCAAACAGGGCAGAAATTCTTGTCAGGTCAGGGTGATTCCTGCTTCCCACTGCTGCCCTTCCTGCTGGGGGCACAGAGACTGAGCAGGGGAGGTCCCTGGTGCCTGCTGAGCCTTCATCCCCAGATTCCTGAGTGCTGACATCCTCCTGAGCTGCTCTGACCTTTCAGCTGAGTTCCCAGGTGTATTTTGCTGCCACAGTGGCACCTGAGCAGGAGAGCTGTGCCCAGCCATCCCCACGTGTTCAGCCCCTCCTGCAGCCTTGTCCTCTGGCTGCCAGGCAGTGGTGGGCACATCTCCAAGCTAAACACACTCCTGTCTCCCCTGGAGAAGGGCCAGGCTGGATTATTCCTTTCTGTGGTCAAAGCAACACTTCAGCTCTGGTTTGGTGTTAGTTATAAGCAAAACCTTACAGAAGAAAGGCCTTGTAAAACCTAGTTTAGGCCTTACTAGGAGAGTATGAGTACTCTGGTGGGAGCTTATATGGCTAAGCTAGCCTGGTAAGTTCCCATAAGAATAAAATGCTGTAGCAGTGAAAATCTGCTTATTCTCCTGAGAAAGTTTTTATAGGTGTTGTTAACAGTTATAGCCTTAGAATTCTATCCTGAATAATTAAAAGAAAATTGCAAACAATATCTAAAAAGAGACACAAGCATGTATCCACCTCTAGTGATCTAACCAATCAAACAGGGTAACAACTAATTACCAACCAACTGGAATTAGGAACAATACTTTCAGAAAACCCTGTAAATTCAGGCTATAATTAATTCACTCCTTTATTATTTAAATTAAATAATAATATTTATATTAATATACTAATTATTTATAATTAATTCACTTATTTCACTGCTTGAAGAAGAGCGTGCCTCATCAATCTCTAATGTGAGGTCACAGGGACAGTCTGGTCACACCTGGGAAGGGCAGAGGAGTCCCAGAATTCTTTTTACTCTTATTTTACACGCTGCTTTCTCATCCTCTTCCCCTCCCAGCAAATGTACATTGCCTTTGTGAAGAACTCCAGGTTCACCTCTCCCAACGTGCTGCCCATGATCAACTTCATGCAGCGCACGCTGACAGAAATGCTGGCCCTGGACAGCCCCACCTCCTACCAGCACAGCTTCATCTACATCCGCCAGCTGGCCATCCACCTGCGCAGCGCCATGACCCTCAGGAAGAAGGTGGGCACCCTCCTCATCCTCCCTGGGCTCCCTGCAACACAGCTGGGCAGAGTTACAGGCATCAAGAGGGCATTTATTAAATGGCCTTCACAGGATGGACCTTGGGAAGTACAGGAGCCTGGTGGAGGCTCTCTTATTGTGGAGAAACAAATGGCACACGTTGGTCAGAATATGTCAGGGTGTATGCCAGCCTCTGTTACAGAGCATGCAGGTAAAGCAGCTAGGGTTAGGGTTAGGGTTTGGAAAACCACAAAGCCCAGGGCTCCAGGCACACTGCAGCTGAAAAGGGCATCCCAGGGGGAACACAAAACTGCCACAACATGCCTTCCTTCACAGCTTTTTCCCTGGGACCAGCCTTAGCCCAAGGCTGTTTTTATTGCTCTGCCCAGGCCACCCTAGGGTGTTTCAGCTTCCCAGCAGTGTCCATGGTATTTAATGGACTTAACAAAACATTTCAGACCTCTGGGGAGCAGCCCTGCTTTTGGCCAACTCCAGTCTGACCTGGGATATCTGTGTCAGATTGCTAATCCTGGATTTAGTCCTGTTTAGCAAAACAGACCCCAGAGATTAATTGTTGAGCTGCCCCCAAGCAGGGCGGGGTTGGTGCCCAGCTAAATCTCCTGGCTGGTCAGACATGGGGATAAATAAGCAGAGATAAATGAAGTCTGGGCTGCAGATCCCCTAATTGGATTGTACTGGCTCCTTACACCCTCAGTTGTGGCCCAGACAAGGAATAAATCCACTTGATTTCACAGCTGGGGAGGCTCGTGGCACTTCAGATGGGAATGGCACCACCAAAATATCCAAATGCAGACACTAAGCCTGTTTAAATGGAGCAGGGGATGGCGGTGGAAGGTGATTACCAGAGCAGATTGCTCGTCTGTTCTGTGCAGGAGAAGCTGAGAAAAGCTTTCTGGTACATCTCAGTGACCTGGGGAGAGCTGGCACAGCCCTGCCACGTCCAGCTGTGCCTTGGCTTAGGGCCCTGCTGCAAGGCTTGGCCCAGTGGCTGCAGTTAAAGGTTCTGTCCCTGTCTCAGGACTTGTGCATCCTGCTGCTCCATGCAGGAGAGGTGAGCTGGGCCTTGGAAGTCTGGAAAAAAGCCACACGTGGGGGCTGTGGCACCTTGTGAGTGCAGTCTGCTGTGGTTTTGGGCAATACCTGCAGAGCTACAGAACTTTTAGGGAAGGGTTTCCTTCAGGGACTCCTGCTCCAGCTGGGCTTTTATTCAGTCTGCCACTAAGAGCTGCCTGCAGCACCTGCCCAGAGTTTTGAAAACCATGTCCTGGCCTGGTGCAAGCCTTGGGCCACTGCTGGCCATGCTGCTGAGCCAGGCTGGGTCACTGTCACTGCTGTCACTGTGTCCTGCTGCAGTGGTTCTGCTGGTAACCAAGCTGCAGCTTTGCTCTGCTGCCTGGCACTTCTACCCTGGAGTTAGAAAAAATGAAGCTGTCCTGTGTGGTACCTTCCCCAAAAGTGCTGGGCTGATCCTTTGTGCTCAGCTCAGGATTCCCCAGAAGTGCTGGGCTGATCCTTTGTGCTCAGCCCAGGATTCCCTGTCCCTGCCACATCCCAGTGCCCTCTGTGAGGTTGGGAGCTCGTTCTTCTCAAAGCAGCCACACTTGAGCACAGCAGCCTGGTTTTATTCCCTTGATTTCCCTCAGGCTCTGGCTGTTCCCAGTGAGCTTGCTGCCCTGGGAATGGCAGCTCCAGTGTTGTTATTCCTCCCTGGGCATTGCAGTGTCCTGGATGAAGTGAGCCTGGGCAGAAGCAGAGTGAGCACCTATCAAATGCCACATTTTCACCTTTCTGCCTTTATATTTTTTTCACCCTTTCCTGCAGGAGAACTTCCAGTCAGTCTATAACTGGCAGTACATCCACTGTTTGTACTTCTGGTGTCGAGTTCTCAGCACCATCCACCCCAGTGAGGTCATGGAGCCCCTCATCTACCCCTTGACCCAGGTCATTATTGGCTGTATCAAGTGAGTGGAATTCCTAATTCTTTTTTCTCAGCTTTGGCGTGTTGTTTTACAGTTCTGTGATTTGGATTTAGCCATGAATGGTCTCAAAGCTGCTTTTAATTGAAATTTTCCAACCTGAGATGAGTGTGAGCAGCTTTTTAGGTGGTGACAGAGTTTGCTCTTTGTACAAGAAAAGTCTCAGCCTGAATAACCTGGGCAGATTATCCTTGTAACTGCAAGGAAAATGATTTGCCTTGCTTCAGAAAATCCTCGTCTGCAGCTCTCTAAATGCATTTAGGAGCTGCATTTTTGGTGCCTGTTTGTTGGCATTGGAAGAAGTGGGACACAGTTGTTATTCTCAGGATGTCTGCTGAGAATTCCCTCCTCACACCACTTTGTATGGATGAAGTGTTTGTGCTCTGAGGTGCCTGTTAACATTAGCATTGAGGGAATTTTGGGATCTCTGGTGATCTCCCAAATCCTGTTAGCTCTGCTAACCAGATTCTCAGCTTTAAAACCCAGCTCTGGAAGAGCTCCCCGGGGTGATGGAGATAAGCAGATTTAAACGATCAGATAAGAGGATGCAAACATCCCCCACTGCTCTGGGATGGGTCCAGGCACCTTCCTACCTGCCCAGCAGATCAGTCAGGGTCTGGGGCTGAGGGGAGGGGAATGGGGTGAGGCCCAGCAGGGTTTTTAGCAGCCTGGCATGAGCTGCAGGTCCTGCCTGGTGAGGATTTGGAGGTTTGGGAACCCCCCCAGGTGGGTTTGGGGTGACCTCAGTGTGGCCTTCCAGGAGCTGAAGGAGGAAGATGGAGAGAGGATTTCCAAAGGATGGGTGGACAGGACACAGAGAATGGCTTCAAACTGAGAGAGGGGGGCTTCAGATGAGAGAGCAGGGAAAAATTCCTGTTCCTGAGGGTGGGCAGGCCCTGGAATGGATTTCCCAGAGCAGCTGTGGCTGTCCCACCCCTGGAAGTGCCCAAGGCCAGGCTGGACAGGACTTGGAGCAGCCTGGGACAGTGCAAGGTGTCCCTGCCCATGGCACTGGATGAGCTTTGAGTCCCTTCCAACCCAAACCATTCCACGATTCCGTGATTCCAGCGTTGGGAAACAGAGTCAGACCCCAGCTGGGACAGGATCCCCTCGGAGCCAGGCTGGCGGCTGGGCTGGGAAGGTGGCAACTTGGCCCACGTGGGGTCACTGTGTGACCAAAAATTCCTGTTCCTGAGGGTGGGCAGGCCCTGGAATGGATTTCCCAGAGCAGCTGTGGCTGTCCCACCCCTGGAAGTGCCCAAGGCCAGGCTGGACAGGACTTGGAGCAGCCTGGGACAGTGCAAGGTGTCCCTGCCCATGGCACTGGATGAGCTTTGAGTCCCTTCCAACCCAAACCATTCCACGATTCCGTGATTCCAGCGTTGGGAAACAGAGTCAGACCCCAGCTGGGACAGGATCCCCTCGGAGCCAGGCTGGTGGCTGGGCTGGGAAGGTGGCACCTTGGCACCCGTGGGGTCACTGTGTGACCTCTGCAGTCCCTTCTTTGTGCTGTGGGGGATTTCTCCTGAGGGGTGGGTGGGAGGAGGATCCCATTCCCTGCTGGCCCCGTGTCCCTGGGACCTGCTCCCTCCATCCCTCTCCACGCTGAAGGTTGCTTTTAGCAGCAGAAATCCCTTTTTTTTCCATAAACTTTTCCTGGCTTTGTCTGCTGGGATTTGTGTCTGGCTGTGAACACGAAGCTGTTCCCTGGTGTGTGTGCTTCAGTGAGGATTTTTGGTGCATTTTGGTGGCGTTGCAGCCTCTCAGCAGGTGCAGGGAAGAAAGCAGAGCCAGCCTGGGCGACCTGGAGCAGAGAGCAGATTTCTGTGTCCCCTCTGCCACCAGGGCTGTGGCAGGATGGGCTGGGCCAAGCCAAAGCAGGCCTGGAACAGGACAGGAGCCACCCCAAGTGATGGGGACTCTGCTCTGGGGTGGCAGGGCTCACCTGGGAGGGAGCTGGAGCTGCTCCCAGCTGTGTTTGGCATTCCTGGGGATCCAGCCACACTCCGGAATGGATGGCTTTGCTTTACAGTAAATCCATACACTTAACAGCTTTATTCCTCCATCAATTAATTCCTGACAATGGCTTTGGTCATCTCCAGGGGTGCCAGAGCAGGGGTGCAAAGTAGATTTATTTCTGGAATGCGCCCAGTGATAATTATTTCACTATTTGGAAGGGGGATGCAGCTGATTTATGATACCTGGTCAAATATTTTTATTTTGTGGGCTCTCCTGGATTGCTCAGCCAGTCCTTTGGGGAGGGAGGGGTTCATTCATCAGCCTGGGCCTGGCAGCTGCGAGCTGTGCTTTAAAAACATGACATTTTTAATGCTGGAACCTTCCACCTTCACGTGCAGCTCACTGGGTGAGGGGCTGGAGAGTGGGACACAAACGAGTTTTGGGGGCTGCTCTCCATTCCCTCGCTGCTCCTGGGGGAGCTGCTTCTGCTCAGTCCCAGCCTGACGTGGCGTTGGCTCGACTTCTGGCTTAATTACCTTAATTTGTGAATTTTTGAACCTTAATTATTTGAAATATGGCTGCAAGTCAGTCAGGGCTCTTCCCTTTCTTGCTGTGGGAATTTGGTTTCCAGCCGAGGGGTGGCTTCAGCCCGGGGGGGTTTCCTGTGTCACTGAAGGCTGCAGGTTCCTCTGGAAATGTGGCCTAAAATTATTTATTTTTCTTTATTTTCATTTGGTTTTATTTCTTTTTTTAAATTTATTTTCCTGTAATATTTTAGGCTTTTATTTATTCTCATTTAATGTTTGTATTTTTATTTATTTTCATTTTAATATTTCTTTTCATTTAATATTTATTTATTTTTATTTAATACTTGAATTTATTTTTATTTAATACTTGAAAATGTATTTTAATTTAATATTTCTGGTTCCTATATAATTTTCTAATTAGTATTTCAATATTTCATCTATTTTTATTTAATACTTTAAAATTTATTATTATTTAATATTTTTTAAATTATTTGTATTTAATATTTTCGGGTTTATTTAATATTTTTCTTTTTATTTAATATTTTTTCTTATATAATAATTAAAATTTTATTTTCATTTAATATTTTGTTTTTATTTAATTTGACATTTTATTTCTATTTAATATTTATATTTTTATTTAATTTTAAAATTATATTTAAAATTTTAAAATTTGTTTTTATTTATTTTTATTTTTATTTTATTTTTATTTATTTTTATTTTAAATGTTTCTTATTTAATATTTCATATTTTTATTTCAATTTTTAATTTCTATTTAAAATTTTTAAAATTTGTTTTTATTTATTTTTATTTATTTAATTTTTTTAAATTTAATATTTCCTATTTTTATTTCAATTTTTTATATCTATTTAAAATTTAAAAATTCGTTTTTATTTAATATTTTTATTTCTTTTCCCTTGCCAGGCTGGTGCCAACGTCTCGGTTCTACCCCCTGCGCATGCACTGCATCCGAGCCCTGACCCTGCTGTCCCAGAGCACCAGGACCTTCATCCCCGTGCTGCCCTTCATCCTCGAGGTGGGCTGCTCCCTGCCGAGCCCTCCTGCAGCTCCCTCCCTAAAATCCCCGGCCAGCAGCGCCAGCCTTGCTGAGGAAAGAGAAATCAATGTCATTATCTGAATGCAGTGCCAGGGGTTGGGCTGCAGCGGGCACAGGGGGTGCCAGGGCAGTTCGGAGCTGCAGGAATTGCTGTGGCCATCTCTGCGTGCAGGCAGAGTGACAGCAGGGAATTCCGTGTGGGCGTCACTTGGTGTTGATTTGAAACGCTTCTCACCTTCAGGGACAGCTCCAAAACCCACCGCAGCTCTGGGTACAGCTGTGAGCCCGAGAGGGCTGGGCTGGGGAACAGGGCTGGGCTGGGCTGGGGAATAAACCTGAGCTGGGCTGGGGAACAAACGTGAGCTGGGCTGGGGAACAGAGCTGGGCTGGGCTGGGGAACAGAGCTGGGCTGGGCTGGGGAACAGAGCTGGGCTGGGCTGGGGAATAAACCTGAGCTGGGCTGGGGAATAAACCTGAGCTGGGGTGAGGAACAATTCTCAGCTGGGGCTGGGGAACAAACCTCAGTTTCCTGTGCTCTTCCTTGTCTTGGTTTCCTCTTGACACCACAGCACCTTGCACAGCCAGCTCTCCACAGCTTCAGGTGTGGTGGTGTTTGCTCCCTCCCTGTCCCTGGCTGGGATTTTCAGGAAAGCTGTGGGGCACTGATCAGGATTTGGGTTTTTGGGTTGTCTTCTTGGCTCTCACCACCTGCCTGCCCTTGGCTGAGTTGTTGCTGGTTGCTTTGTGCTGGGATCACTTTTACAATTTTTTTTTTCTTTTTTCTCTTCCAGGTTTTCCAACAAGTTGATTTCAACAAGAAGCCAGGACGGATGAGTTCCAAGCCCATCAACTTTGCTGTGATCCTGAAGCTCTCCAATGCCAACCTGCAGGAAAAGGCCTTCAGGGTGAGTGGGACCTCAGCTCCAGCACTGCCTGGGCTCCCTGGGACAAGGAATGTGCTCTGTGTCCCTGTCCCCAAGGTGTGACACGCCTTCCCCAGTCTGGTTTAGGTGCTGTAGGAAATCTGAGGGGTTTAGGTCATACCCAGTCCCTTGATTTGTGTTTCTCCTGCTCAGGATGGGCTCATTGACCAGCTCTATGACCTGCTGCTGGAATATCTCCATGGCCAAGCCCACAGCATTGGCTTCCCAGAGCTGGTTCTCCCCACTGTCATCCAGGTAAGGGGGTGCCATGAACGTGCACAGAGTGGGATAAAGTAATTCAAACTAACAGTGACCTCAGGATGGCCCTCAGAATGAGGGGAGAGCCGTTTACCTCTGCTAGTTTTAATTTTGATTTGTGTTTTGGGGAGGAGCAGAGGCATCACATCCAATTAGGCTGGAGGGAGGGGAAAGGCTCTGGAGTTTGCCATCTGTTGGGAGCCAAAGTGGAGCAGAGGCTGCAGAACTGCTCTGGGCTGGGGCTGGGATGCTGAACTCGCCTGAGTTCCTGGGGATTCAGAGCTGTGCCCGTTGCTGGGGGGCCTTGGAGCAGAACCTGTGCTCTGAGCCCCAGCTTTTCCTTGCCTCAGCCTCCCCAGGCACTCTCCACAAGATGGCAATCTTCCCTCCCAGTCTTCCCTCCCAGTCTTCCCTTCCCAATCTTCCCTCCCAGTCTTCCCTCCCAGTCTTCCCTTCCCAGTCTTCCCTTCCCAGTCTTCCCTCCCAGTCTTCCCTCCCAGTCTTCCCTCCCAGTCTTCCCTCCCAGTCTTCCCTTCCCAATCTTTCCTCCCCAGTCTTCCCTCCCTTCTCAGGCTCCATCGCTGGAGCTGCTCAGTGTGCAAGTGTTGGAATGTGTTCCCTCATTCCCAGCCCTCTGCTTTTAACTCAGGGGTGGCTGCTGTCACATCCCCTGTGGGGACACGAACCTCTGCATGTCCTGGTGTGTGCCACCAGCCCCTGCAGAGCTTGGGCCCTGGCTGCTGGGGCTGTGCCCCACAGGCTGTTTGGGGTGTCCTGGCTGCTGGGGCTGTTTGTTTGGGGTGTCCCTGGCTGCTGGGGCTGTGCCCCACAGGCTGTTTGGGAAGCAGAGCTCCGTGTCCCTTTCAGGGGCTGGCATTGCCAGGGCCTGGCATCTGCCAGGCACACGGCTCTTGGCTGTGTCCCCCGGGCTGGCACAGGGGCTGCCTTGGCTGCTGGGAGCTGGCAGCCCCTGTGTGTGTGAGCAGCAGAGCAGCTGTGGGAGCTGTGGCAGCCCGTGTTTGGCTGCAGCAGGAGCTCTGAGGGCCCCGTGCTCCCCCAGGCTGTGCAGAGCAGAGCAGGGATGGATTCCTGCCTGGCTGCCTCTGCCCGTGGCGTCTGCCGGGCTGGGGGCTGGCCCTGGCTTCCCAAAAGCTGCGTGGGGAGAGGCTTTTCTGCTGGACAGCTTCCAGCCCACTGTGCACATCCATGTGTGCCCAGCCTCCCTTCCCTCCCTGCTGGGCTCACGCCTCTCCCAGCGCCGGGGCAGGGCTGCTCCAGCTGGCAGGGGCTGTGTCCCTCCTCCTCCTCCTCTTCCTGCTCTGGTCAGCAGCTCTGGGGGAAGCTGGGCTGAGTTCCCAGCCTCAGCTTCCCAAATTCTCTGCCTGGAAGGCAGGAAGCACCGGCAGATGAAAGGAGAGGAGAGCCCGTGGGGATGGGAGTCACTTCAAAGCTGCTGCTGCTCCTGCCCCAGGGCTGACCCGTGGTGGTCTCTGCCTGCAGGGGCTGGGGGAGGGAAGAGCCCCTTCCCTGCCCCAGAGCCCTGGCAGGCAGCACAGAGCAGAAGTGGGAGGTTGGAGGGGGAAAAGCTGGCACTGAGGCAGGAGCTGGCAGGAGCCAGGCTGGGCTTGCAGTGAGCCAGAAGGGAAGGTGCTGCCCTGCCCTGCCCTCCCTGCCTTGCCTTGCCCTGCCCTCCTTGCCCTGCCCTGCCAGCAGCTCTCCTGCTGCTGCTCCCCTGTCCCCAGGGAAAAGTTCCTGGTGTGAGCTGGGAACTGGGCAGGGTTTGGCTTCCCTGCATCACTTCCAGTAAGAGCAGCTGGGGTTTTGCTCTGTGGGCTCTGCTGGGAGAAGCCTTTGGTGTTGCAGGCTGGCAGTGGGACAGAGTCAGCCCCAGTAATGACAGGCTGGGATGTGAGGCCTCAGTTCCATATCCACAGACACACGTGGGTGTTCTGATTGGTTTTGCTCTGCAGAAATCCCATTGTTCCATTTGGCAGAGTAGGGAAAAGCACACACAGACCCTGATTTTCCCCTCTCTGTCCTTTATCTTTTACTCCCATGGATGTGTCCCTACCTCTCCACACAGGGCTGAGATCTCATTAGCTCTCATTAATATCTGTGATAGGCAGCTAGGGGTGGGACTGTGAGGGGAGCAGGGGCTGTGTGAGGGGACACAGAGCTCCAAACTGCACTGACAGAGCCCAGGATTCTGCAGGATTTCTGGTGACACTTCTGCAAGGGAAGAAAAATGATAATGGATGTGGCAGCGGATGGAATGGATCTGGGGCTGCAGCTGGGGGGATCAAGTGAGATAAATCGAGTGACAAATGCATCTCTCAGTGGAGATAAATATGCAGCACCTATAAAAAATAAATATTTTAGGCGTGGTGGTCTCTGCCTGCAGGGGCTGGGGGAGGGAAGAGCCCCTTCCCTGCCCCAGAGCCCTGGCAGGCAGCACAGAGCAGAAGTGGGAGGTTGGAGGGGGAAAAGCTGGCACTGAGGCAGGAGCTGGCAGGAGCCAGGCTGGGCTTGCAGTGAGCCAGAAGGGAAGGTGCTGCCCTGCCCTGCCCTCCCTGCCTTGCCTTGCCCTGCCCTCCCTGCCCTGCCCTGCCAGCAGCTCTCCTGCTGCTGCTCCCCTGTCCCCAGGGAAAAGTTCCTGGTGTGAGCTGGGAACTGGGCAGGGTTTGGCTTCCCTGCATCACTTCCAGTAAGAGCAGCTGGGGTTTTGCTCTGTGGGCTCTGCTGGGAGAAGCCTTTGGTGTTGCAGGCTGGCAGTGGGACAGAGTCAGCCCCAGTAATGACAGGCTGGGATGTGAGGCCTCAGTTCCATATCCACAGACACACGTGGGTGTTCTGATTGCTTTTACTCTGCAGAAATCCCATTGTTCCATTTGGCAGAGTAGGGAAAAGCACACACAGACCCTGATTTTCCCCTCTCTGTCCTTTATCTTTTACTCCCATGGATGTGTCCCTACCTCTCCACACAGGGCTGAGGTCTCATTAGCTCTCATTAATATCTGTGATAGGCAGCTAGGGGTGGGACTGTGAGGGGAGCAGGGGCTGTGTGAGGGGACACAGAGCTCCAAACTGCACTGACAGAGCCCAGGATTCTGCAGGATTTCTGGTGACACTTCTGCAAGGGAAGAAAAATGATAATGGATGTGGCAGCGGATGGAATGGATCTGGGGCTGCAGCTGGGGGGATCAAGTGAGATAAATCGAGTGACAAATGCATCTCTCAGTGGAGATAAATATGCAGCACCTATAAAAAATAAATATTTTAGGAAGGGGGGGTGAGGGCAGGACAGGCTTCAGCAGCAGAAGAATTGTGTGTGCTGATGGTTTCTTTGTGCTTTGGGGGAGGCAGGGAAGGGCTGAATTCCCATTTTTCTGAGCTGGTGCTGGGATGTGCTGCAGGGAGAGGGACAAGGGAAGCCCCTGCTGCTGCTGGATGGGGAGATGTGCAGCAAACACCCCTCAGAGGGCACTGTCCTGGCAGGGAGGGGCTGGCTGGCGCTGCCACCTCTGGGTGCACTGACAGGAGGGACACATCTCCTTCCTTCCCCCAGCTCTGTCCCCCCAGGCAGAACCTTGGGAGCCATGGCTGGAGGAGGCAGTAATGGATTTGCTGCCTGGAAATCCTTTCTCTCCCTGCTGATAGCATCTCCTGGCCCCACTGAGAGCAAGGCTCCGTTGTGGTTAACCATTTCCTCCTGCCTCATTGGGTCTTTTTCTCTAAATCAAATGTCTGTGCAGTGTTTGGGTGTTTATTTGTGGCTCCAGCAAAGAGCCTGCAGGGTTCACACAGCACTGCTGGAGCTGGGCAGGGCTGGCAGCAGGCAGGGGAGCCACTGCAATTCCAGCATGGATCAGCCTGGGCACCCCCACCAAGAGCATCCAGGCCTGCCTCAGTGCTTGCTTTGGAGGTGGCACAGCAGGGTGCTGGTGCTGGAAAGTTCCATCTGGTCATTTTTACTGTGGGTTTGAGCCCTGGGAAGGTCAGGGTGCCAGCCTGAGCTGGGTTGGAGCCCTGGGAGGGTCAGGGTGCCAGCCTGAGCTGGGTTTGATCTCTGGGAGGGTCAGGGTGCCAGCCCGAGCTGGGTTGGAGCCCTGGCAGGGTCAGGGTGCCAGCCTGAGCTGGGTTGGAGCCCTGGGAGGGTCAGGGTGCCAGCTGTTGGTCCCTGAGGGCGGGGGCAGGGTCAGGGTGCCAGCCTGAGCTGGGTTGGAGCCCTGGGAGGGTCAGGGTGCCAGCCCGAGCTGGGTTGGAGCCCTGGCAGGGTCAGGGTGCCAGCCTGAGCTGGGTTGGAGCCCTGGCAGGGTCAGGGTGCCAGCTGTTGGTCCCTGAGGGTGGGAGATGCTTTTTCACTGTGGGATGTTTTTGGGAACCCTGCCATGGCTTTGTTCTTCTCTCCTTTCCCTGCTCACAGCTGAAGTCCTTCCTGAAGGAGTGCAAGGTGGCCAACTACTGCCGGCCCATGCGGCAGCTGCTGGAGAAGCTGCAGGAGAACTCAGCCCACATCTGCAGCAGGAGGCAGAGAGCAGCCTTCGGGGTGGCCAGCACTGCAGCTGTGGTCAGCCTGGACATGGGGACAGACATGGGGACACAGGGACAGACATGGGGACACGGGGACAGCATGGGGACAGCCTGGGGACACTGGGACAGACACAGGGACATGGGGGACAGCCTGGGGACACTGGGACAGTGTGGGGACATGGGGACAGACATGGGGACACAGGGACAGACATGGGGACACGGGGACAGCATGGGGACAGCCTGGGGACACTGGGACAGACACAGGGACATGGGGGACAGCCTGGGGACACTGGGACAGTGTGGGGACATGGGGACAGACATGGGGACACAGGGACAGACATGGGGACACGGGGACAGCATGGGGACAGCCTGGGGACATTGGACAGCCTGGGGACATGGGGGACAGCCTGGGGACATTGGACAGCCTGGTCACATGGGGACACTGGGACAGACATGGGGACAGCCTGGGGACAGCGTGGGGACAGCCTGGGGACACTGGGACAGACATGGGGACACTGGGACAGACATGGGGACAGCCTGGGCACATGGGGACAGACATGGGGACACTGGGACAGACATGGGGACAGCCTGGGGACATGGGACTGACATGGGGACAGCCAGGGGACATGGCACAGACATGAGGACATGGCACAGACACTTTCCCACTTCAGCTTTTGGCTCCCTCTGTGCTCCTGCAGTGCCCGGGCTCTGCTCGGCCTGGGGACAGTTCCCAGTGCCACCACTCCTGGCTCAGCAGAGCCTGAACAGCTGAGGCTGAATTCCCTGGCTGCTGCCAGTTCCTGCCCAGGAGCTGGGAAAATCTGCTTTGTTTGTGGGAAAACTGCCTGGAAATCCTTGAAACGTGTGTCCCTTTGTCCACAGGAGCAGTGGGAGAAGCAGGTGAAGGAGGAGGGGACACCCCTGAGCAGGTACTACAGCCACTGGAGGAAGCTGAGGGAGAAGGAGATCCAGCTGGAAATCAGTGGCAAGGAGAGGGTGAGCACCAAACGCTGCCTGTGAGCCCTGGGGACAGCCAGGGACTGGGGACAGGGACTGGGGACAGAGGGACACCCAGGGACTGGGGAACAGGGGCTGGGGACAGGGACTGAGGGACAGCCAGGGACTGGGGACAGGGGACAGCCAGGGAATGGGGACAGGGACTGAGGGGACAGGGGGACAGCCAGGGACTGGGGACAGCCAGGGAATGGAGAACAGGGGCTGGGGACAGGGACAGGGGACAGTCAGGGCGGGGACAGGGGGACAGCCAGGGACTGGGGACAGGGACTGAGGGGACAGGGGGACACCCAGGGAATGGGGACAGCCTGGGAATGGGGACAGTCAGGGAATGGGGACAGGGACAGCCCAGAGTGGGGCCAAGCTCCTGCCCCAGACTGGCCCTGCTGCTGGAGCAGCTCTCTGCAGAGAGAGGCAGATTTGGGGTTTTTTCTGTACAGAAGCAGATTTGGGGTTTGCTGTCAGCACAGAGGGGCAGATTTGGGTTTTTTTCTCTACAGAGGCAGTTTGCTCTCAGCACAGAGGGGCAGATTTGGGGTTTGCTCTCAGCAGAGAAGCAGATTTGGGGTTTGCTCTCAGCACAGAGGGGCAGATTTGGGGTTTGCTGTCCCAGAGGCTGCCTTGCAGCTCTGCTGCTGAATGGGGCTGTTGTGTGGCTCTGGGGCCTTAATGATGCAGCTTTGTGAGCCCCAGCAGGAGAGGGAACACCATGAGGCCCATTAGGGCTGGGAAAATCCATGTCCCATTAGCAGCCATTGGGGGGAAAAAAGGTAATAACAGGAAAAAAAAAAAAGAAAGGCAGCCTGGCTGGGAGCTGCAGCTTGCCTTAGACAACAGCTCTGAGCCTTTCTGCCCATTCCATTTGCTTTTCCCAGTGGTTTTTAATGGGATGGGGACTAAATCAGCTTGGTGAGAGTCTGCAGATAGGAGCCCTCTAGCTGGGGATTAAAAGGCTGGCCCCCAAATTAGCTAATTAGTGCTTGTGTGTGATGAGCACAGGGGCTCTGGGTTGTGCCAGTGCAAATCTCAGTCCTTGGGGGTTGGGGTTGATTGTGAGGTGCCCATCCTGAGGGTCCTGGGGGGTCTCAGAAGGGTGGAGCTGGCACAGCTCCTCCAGGTCCTGGTTGGTGTGCTCAGCTTGTGCTGATGTCACCCAGAGCTGCCTTTGGAAATGGGGATTTTTCCTGGGCCCTGTGGGAATGTGGAACCCCAGCTAAGAGCTCCCTGCTGCCTGGACAGGAGCCTGCCTTGTGCCCCAGAAATGCTGGGAATTGTGGAAATTATGGGAATGGGAATTATGGAAAAGGCTTTCACCCCCGTGGTGGGGGCTGGAGCATAACCAGGCTGGGGCTGCCCCATCCCTGCAAGTGTCCAGGGCTTCCCTGGAAGTGTCCAGGGCTTCCCTGGAAGTGTCCAGGGCCAGGCTGGGAGAGGCTCTGAGCAGTGGAAGGGATCCCTGCCCATGGAACTGGAGGAGATTTGGGGTCCTTTCCTACCCAGACCATTCTGGGACCCTCTAACCAGCCTGGCATAGGTGCCAGCCATGGGGCCAGCTGAGGGCAGCAGCTTGGCAGTGCCCCTGTTGTATTTTGCTTCCCAAATCTCCTCCCTGGCACCTCTGGGCTGTTGTTTGAAGCCCAGCACAGACGGGGAGGAGCAGAGGCCTCTCTGTCCCTGTGGCAGGAAGGGCAGTGGGAAGATGATGATTGGAAGTGGTGGAGGGTGATTTTTTTTCCCTTCCCTGCCCATCCCAGGTGGCTGCTGGGAAGTGCTCAGCTCCAGGATCAATATGGCCCAGCTGGGGACCATAACCCTGGAACAGGCTGGCAGAAATTGCTGCAGATGGCTGCAGGAGCAAACCCACAGCTCCATCTCCTGCTCCTCAGCCCCATCCTGTCTCTGGGTCTCTGCTTTCCCACCCAGACTGTCCCTGGCTGCTGGAGCGTGGCTGTGCTCAGCCAGGAGAGGCTTTTGGGGTGCTCTGAGGGGTGCCAGGGGGAGCAGCTGAGTGCTGACCCCGGGCTGGGTGTTTCCAAGCCAGCCCTAATGTGTGCTAAAGCCCGAGTGCAGCCAGGCAGGGCAGGGACAGCCGATCTCAGGGAGCACTTGGGGTTTCATTTGCATTCTGATTATCTTTGCCCTGCTGGCCTGAGCCCTTGCAAGTAAATCCTCCCCCTAATCCCCCTCCGGAGAGGTGTAAAGAGCACCGAGGTGCTGTCAATTGAGAGCACTTTAATGGCATTGATATTGGCTGCCTGCTCCAGGGGCTCTTGGCCCATTGATCTCCTTCAGGGCAGGGCATGGATGCAGATCTTGAGCATCCTCAGCACCTGAAACCCTGAAATCTGCACCCAAAACCAGGGAGTTTCTCAGGAACTGCTGCTCCAGAGATGCCCAGCCCGAGTGCAGAGCTGCCTGCCATGGGTATCCTGCATCCTTATCCCTGCTGGGCTGCCTGCAGTGCATGTTCCACGAGCAAAAGCAGTTTATTAGGGCAAGATGAATGCAGCAGCAGAGCTCTGTGTGCCTCCCTCACCCCTGGGACCCCTCACAAGTCTGTGGCTGGCAGCAGACAGACCCAGCTGCTCTGGGCAGGCTGGGCAAAGCCAAGTTCCTGCCTTTAAACACAGCCTTTGACATTTAAAAGCACAAATGAGGGCTGCTCTTACTGTGGGGTTTGTTTTCTTTCCAGCTTGAAGACTTGAACTTCCCAGAAATCAAACGCAGGAAGCCAGATGAGAGGAAGGAGGAGGATAAGAAGGAATTCAAGGATCTCTTTGAGCTGGACAGTGACTCTGAGGAGGAGAATGGTGGATTCTCTGTGAAAGGTACAGGGCTGGGGCTGGGCTTGCCTTTTCCATGTCCACAGTCCCATTTTCCCTGTCCACAATTCCAATTTCCTTGTCCACCATTCCAGTTTCCTTGTCCACAGTCCCCTTTTCCTTGCCCACAGTCCCCTTTTCCTTGTCCAGTCCACTTTTCCTTGCCCACAATTCCAATTTCCTTGCCCACAGTCCCTTTTCCTTGCCCACAATCCCCTTTTCCTTGCCCACAATTCCAATTTCCTTGCCCACATCCCCTTTTCCTTGCCCACAGTCCCCTTTTCCTTGCCCACATCCCCTTTTCCTTGCCCACAATTCCATGTTTTGGGCTCAGTTTGGCCCTGCCCTAAGGGGGTTTCCTGCTGGCCCTGTTGGGTTCAGAAGATTCCCTGATGAGGAGGGAGAGCTCAGGAGGAGGTGGTCCTGAAGGTGTTTGGGACACTTTTATCTTTCTCTCCCTCCCAGTCCAGCTCTTTTTAAAGCCTCATCCCTGTTTCTTTTCCTGGGCATGTCCCACCCTCTGTCACCCACAAGGTCAGAGCCCAAAGCCCAGGGGATGAGCAGAGCCCTGTGCAGGTTCTGTGCCTGGCAGGGGCTCTCACCAGCACCTCTGATCCTGCCCTGCTGCACTTCTGATTTATTTATTTATTACCTTTTATTATTTATTTTATCCTGGCTGACGTTCCAGGCGTTCCCAGGAATCCCGGAGAGCAGGGCTGATGTCACCTGGGCTGTGACCACGAGAGGGCCACAGCAAATTGTGCAGCCTGCCTGGGAAGTTCAGCAGAGTCTGGGATGAATCTGGGAGTTCCTCCTGGCATTTGGGATGTTTGGGATGTCCTGGGTGTGTGCAGCAGGGAAGGGAGGGGAATCTGCAGTCTCTCCTTGGTGCTGTGGATCCAGGGGAGATTCCTGCTCCTGGGGCAGGAATTCCAGCAGGATCACAGCCCTAGGATCCCCCCAGGGCAGCAGGAAACGTGCTGGATGCAGGGAATCCCATCAGATCAGGGTGGGCTTTGCCCTGGAATGGGAAATGTTTGTCAGGCAGGGAATTCCATCAGATCAGGGTGGGCTTTGCCCTGGAATGGGAAATGTTTGTCAGGCAGGAAAGGATCCCGGGCTGGGGTCTCTGCAAGGACTGAAGAGGGGAGAGAATCCAGTCTGGGAATCTCTGAGCAGGAAAGAACCAGGAGCTGGGGAGGTTCCTGCTCTCTTTTCCAGCTGGATTTCTGGCAGAAAGGGAAAGCTGGGAATTAGGAATGGCTCAGGAAGAGGTGCTGGGCCTCTGGAGCAAGGGAAGTGACTTTTGGGGGGATATTGGTGAGAAATGAGGAGAAATCCCCCTGGAGTGTGTCTGGCAGTCCTGAGCTGTGCTGCTGCTCGTGTCCCACTGACACCCTGATCCCTGCAGGGAAAGGCAGAGCCAGGCAGGCCTCGGATGACAGCTCAGAAGCCAGCAGCAAGGAGTTTGGGGAGGAGGATGAGGATGAAGAAGGAAATTACGAAGTGGAGGAGGATGAGGAGGAAGAACTGGAAGAGGACAGCGAGTCAGAGGGTGAGTGGGGAATTCCTGACAGCACCAGGGCTTTTTGGCCTGTCAGGGTGTCAGGAGGGGCTCCACAGACCCTGAGGGGAGAGCTGGCAGCTCTGAGCTGCAGAGAGCAAAGGGTTAAAGTGTTCTCACAGCCCCCAGCCCCTTTCATCTCTCCTCAGGACCCTCCTGCAGGGAGGCTCAGCCCCCCAGCCCTGCCTGGGGCACGCAGAGCTGCTGCAGGTGCCACTGCCAGGGTGCCACTGCCAGGGTGCCACTGCCAGGGTGCCCTCCCCTTCCAGCTGAGCCCTGCCTGGGCCACAGGGGCACGGGGTAACCCTTGCCTTGCTGGAGAGACCCCAAACAAAGCCCTGCATTCCCTGGGCTCTCACGTGTGTGCCCGGAACCTTCTGGAATGGAAGCACTGCCCCCAAATTCCCCTTGGTGTTCCAGGCCAGGGGGGGCACTTTGGGCTCCATTCCTGCCCCAGGGGGGCACTTCGGGCTCCATTCCTGCCCCAGGGGGCAATTTGGGCTCCATTCCTGCCCCAGGGGGCACTTTGGGCTCCATTCCTGCCCCAGGGGGGCACTTTGGGCTCCATTCCTGCCCCAGGGGGGGCACTTTGGGCTCCATTCCTGCCCCAGGGGGGCACTCTGGGCTCCAGTGCCCCCCCAGGCACCGCTGCTGTGCCCAGCCCTGCAGGGCTCCCCGGGATGAATTAATGAGTGTCTGGCATTAATTAGTAACTGCCCTGGCAGGCAGGCAGGCAGGGTTTCTGACAGCTCTCTCTCCCCCAGCAGAGGAGGGCAGGGAAGCAGCGCAGCATTCCCGGCATTCCCAGGAGAGGAGGAGCGGCCCCCGGGGGCTGTCCCGCTCCGACCTGCAGCAGCTGGCACAGGGAGGGGACGACCTGGTGCAGGACCTGGAGTTTTCTGACGAGGACTGAGCCCCCCAGCCCCTCTCCACCTGAGCCCTCCCACCCTGCAGCACCTGGAGCTGCTGTCAGAGCCAGGGGCACAGCTGGGACCAGCCCTTGCACTTTCCAGCTCGACTTGGACTTCTCCAGCTTTTCCAACCAGTTCTGCTTTTGGTACCAATAAAACCCGAGGCCAAGTCAAGGCCAGTAAAAACTGCTCAGAGAGGGAGCAAAGCCCCCCCATTAAAACTGCTGCTTTCAATAGCACAGGGTTCACTTCCAGCTCCTGCTAAGGGAGCTGAGCAAGGGCAGGGCCAGGTTTTTGTCCAAGGTTCTTCCTCTCTGCCCCAGCAGCCAGCCCAGGTTCTGCTCTCACCAAACCCTCCCTGGTGCACTGAGGGACTGCAGGGACTCTGCCAGAGCTTTGCAGCTTCCCTGGAAGGTTTGATCAGTTCAAGCTGCTCTAAGTGTGCTGAAGGAAACTTTAATTTAAAGTTTCTTGGGTTGGGGACGTGCAGGCATGAAGGAATAAGGAAAGGCAAAATTGCTAATGTAGGAAACACTGCCCAGGTGAGAACTGCACCACTTAAACTGTAAAGAAAAAAATTTCACTTTGGAAAAGATTTTAACTTGCCTGTTCTTCCCAAAGAGAAAGGATTTCCCTTTTTCTCCTGGCTCTGACTTAGCTGGGCAAGGTGCTGGTGCCTTCTGCCAGCTGGGAACCCAGCCTGGACTGGATCCCAGGCAGGAATGTGGCAGCTCTGCTGCACCTGCAGGGGGGCACCTGGCCCAGGTGGGCACCCAGGAAAAAGGAAAGACACAGACTGCTTGGGTAAAGCCAGGTACCATCTGTAAATTAAGTGTTTTTCTTTTTTATTTAAATTGATTGCTGGAAAGCATTTTTATCGTGATGTGATGGATAATGAAATTTTTTTTTTCCTTTTTTTACAATATAAAGAAGCTAAAGTACCACCAAAGCTATCCTGTAAGAAAAACGGCAGCACGTGCAACGTTTAAACAAAAAACAAACCCAAAAATAAAAAGGGGGATGGGGGGGGGGGGGAAGAGAGAAAAGTACCACATGTGATTGTTGCTCACAACTGTACAAGTCACAGGAGGTCACCCCAGCAGTTCCCAGCTCATTCACAGTAGTAAAAACTCTGCCCATGTTTCAGCCTGGGCTCCTCTGGGGTGCACAGCGGGCAGAACGTGCAACCGTCCTCCCCCTGCCCCAGGGCTGCCAGCAAAGCCCCCGGGCAGCTGCAGGCACGGTGGGACCCTCCTCCCCCAGAGCTGCTCCTGGAAAGCAAACATCCCACGGGGAAATTCCTCTGCAGGGCTGAGCACGGGCACTGCCAGGGCATCTCCTCTGCAGGGCTGAGCAGGGGCACTGCCAGCCCCCGTGCCAGGGCAGGGTGGCTCTGTACCATCTGCACGAAGTAAACATGGACGGGAACTTGCCTTTTTTTTTTCTTTTTTTTTTTCTTTTTTGTCTTTTTGTCTGTCTTTGGTATTGTTTTCAAAGTAAGTTGCTAGAGATGCATAGAACACCTGAAGGAGGAACTGAGCCCAGTTTCCAGGGAGGAGGAGAGGTTGGCTGGGGTGGGTGTGGATGGGTTTTTGTTTTTTTTGCTCCAAGTACCGGTGGGAGGAGCAGAGCCCCTTCCCTTCCCCGTGGAGGCACAGCCCGGAGTTCCTGAAGGCAGAGAGCAGCCTGTCCATGGTTCCTGTGCGGGGCTCCAGCTCCACTGAGCAGTGTGGAAGGGAACAGCAACGCAGCATCCTTCTCTTCACTTGGCGTCGTCCCACGACAACATCTTTGGATCATTTTCCTTCCTTCCCTTTCATCATTATTCTTTTTTTGACAGTTCAGAAATCTCCACGGTTCTTCTTTTATTTTCCCCGAACAACAACAACCACCCAAAAAAAAAAAAAAAAAAAAAAAACAAAAACATCCAAAAAATTAAAAAAAAAAAAAATCCAATCCCTCCCTTCCTCCAGCACGCTGTGCCCCTGCCCGGTTAGGACGGGGCTTTGCTGCTGTCGCCGAGCAGGGCAGCGCTGCCGTTCTCGTGCCTCGGGGAGCTCCGGCTGGCGGGCGCGGCGCTGCCGAAGGGCGAGGCGGCGCTGCCGGGGGAGCCGGGCCGGGGCTCGCCCGGGGCCGCGTCCCGCTCCGCGCCCCGCAGCGCCGGCAGCGGCAGCGCCAGCGGGAAGCCGGCCATGTACAGCACCCGGCCCAGGCGCTTGGCCACCTGCGGGGAAAACGGGGGAATAAATAAATTAGCTGAGGGGTGGGTGAAGGTAGAGGGGGTGGGAGTGAGGATCGGCCAGGATTGGTGCAGAATGCCGGGTTTGGGGTGAATGCCAAGGCGTGCTGGAAGGAGAGGTGCTCCCAGCCCTGGCTGTGTCAGGGACAGCCTGGGACAGTGGAAGTGTCCCTGCCCACTGGACGGGACTGAGGTCCCTTCCACCCCGAACTGAAACTGCAATGAAGCAATCCCATTCCCAGTGCAGCTGAAAACCAGAGCAGGGAGGGTTTCCTCCTCTCTCCTGAAGGATTTTGTCCTGCTCCTGCTCCTGGGCACTGCTGGATCCTCCCTGTGCCAGCCCCAGGCGTGCTGGGACAGCCCAGCTGAGGGGCCCTGGCTCATTCCTGCCCTTTTACCCACGGACAGGACTCTGCTCTCCCTCTGTCCACTTTGGAACAGCAGGAATTGCTCTTCAAAAGGCCAAGGCAAGGGAGGGAAAAATAAAACTGCTGAACCTCTCCCTCCTGCAGCAGCTCCTGCCTCCCAGCACGGGCCAAAGGCCTCCCAGCACCTCCACAGCTGCTTCCCATTTGAGCTTAAACAAAACCAGGGGCTGCTGCTGGACCCAGACAAGTGGGACATTATTCAGGGAGCAGCATCAGGGCTCTGCTCCCCCCATCCAACCCCCAGGTAACACAACTTTGAACGCTACTGATGAAATAGAAGGAATTTTTCAAGTTCGTGTCTCGCATTCCCCCCACCCCAAGCCCCATCTCTGAGCTATTCAGGGCTCTCTTGTTTTTTAAGGAACATAAAGAGTTTTATTTCCTCCTGAATTGACCCACGGGGAACAATTGCCCACAGACCCTTTTTATGAGCCCCCTCATAAACAGGGAGGGCTGCAGGGAAAGCAGTAAAGTCTCTCATTGTTCCAACACAGCACGAGCAGCGTGGGCTTGGGGACAGGGCTGGCACTGTCCCTGGGCAGTGCAGTGACAGCCACAGCCCCTCCAGGACACAATTCCCAGGGGACACAGCACAGCCTGGCCTTCACACGTGGCAGGAGGGATTTTCCCAGCACTCAGTGGGAAAGGATCCAGCAGAGATGTTCTGGGCTCGAGTCCCACTGAGGGAGGAGGAATGGAACTGCTGGAGCCAGCCAGTTTAAGAGCCTCCCACTGCATCCCTGCTATTCCCTCCCACCTCTCATCCTGGACTATTTATTTCTGCCCCTGGGCACGGAATTCTGTCAGTGGTTCCTCCCTCAAACAGCTGTGACAGCTTTCAGGTGAGGCTATGGAACATTTCCAAGGATGAATAAAGCGTTCTTGAAACAGAATTGCAACTGAGTTATTGCTCAATAAATGATATTCCATAAAGCACGTTTCTGGCCAAGCCAGGGACAGCTTTAGATGGTGCCACCTGTTCTGAGAGAGGAGATTTTCCTACCTGTGACCTGATCTTCAGGGCAGGTCCCAGCTTGAGCCCCATGTTGTTCAGTAAGTGCTCTTCTGTCAGGAGGGGCAGGGTCTCCCCGTCGATGGCCTGCTCTCGGAATACCTGAGGGGACACAGGGCCAGGTCAGGGACACACCTGAGCCACCTGTGGAAAAGGTGAACTCCAAACCCCTCAGCCTGTGTTTACCCACCAGGGATGTTTCCTGAACCCATCCCTTTGGAGCCAAGGGGATTTTTATTGCAAGGAGCTGCTGCTCTTGGAGCCAGCACACTGCACCCATTCCCCTCCCTCCTCTGCAGGAGACAAAACCCTCCCTAAAACACTCCAAAAAAAGCCTCAACTTGGGAAAAGCATCCCCTGGGGTGTCCCCCAGCTCCAGTGCAGAGACAAAGCTGAATCCCAGCCAGGCCGGGGCAACTCTGAGTTGTGCTGGAGTTCCCTGGTTTGCCTGAGCCGTGGTTCTGGAATCACAGGGAATTTTACAGGGTGTTCCTGGTTCTGGAATCACAGCATTCCAGGGAATTTTACAGGGCTTTCCCAGTTCTGGATGAGGAACATTCCAGGGAATTTTATAGGGCTTTCCTGGTTCTGGAACCACAGCATTCCAGGGAATTCTGCAGGGCTTTCCTGGTTCTGGAACCACAGCACTCCAGGGAAGCTCACAGGCCCCATCCCACACCTTGGCTGACAGCAAGTTCAGCAATCCATGAGGAAAAACCCCAGGAAAACCCTGCAGGGCTCTGAGGTGCAGCTCCCAGGAGGGACGAGCCCAGCTGGGAGGGAACAGGACCCGCAGGGAAGGAGGATGTCCCTGCCAGGACCTGCTGGATTTACCTGAGTGTACTCAGTGCAGCCAGACAAGTTGGACACGAAGCTGCAGACGTCCTCCACCGTCCATTTGCTGATGTCCTCCAGCGCTGGGCTCTCCTCCCCATCCAGAAACAGACCTCCCATGGTGCCTGGATTGTTTGGAGCCAGGGGGGTGGGAAGGAGGGGAGGAGAAAGGAACATAAATCATTAAAATCCCACACGGACAACAAGCAGCCTGCAATCTGAATATTTTTCTCTAGCCACACATTCATCTTTAATGACCTGTCAATTAAAGAGCTGGGCAGGGTCAATTCATAGGCCTCTTCCTCCTGGAGGTCCCTGGCTGGGGGAGGGAAGGAAAAATCCCAGCTAATGCATTTCATGTGTTTAATGCTCCTCAGCTGCAGGGGAAGCAGGGGGAGGGCAGGGGGGCAGCAGATTCTGCAGGAGTTTCTGCACACAGAGCACAGAGCTCTGCCTGCCCCGCGGGCTCCCCGGCCAGCCCCGCTCCTGGAACGTGCCAGGAATGGCAACAGGGATCCCTGGGCAGCTCCTGCTCCTTCCCAGGGTTTCTGTTCCACCCTGGCCAGCCCTGACGGGACAGAGCTGCTGTCAGCTCCCTGAAATGCCAGAGCGGCCAGCCCTGTCACTGTCACACAGGGTGACAGGCTCCCGGGGGCTGGGAGCCCCCCCGGCCCTGCAGCCTGACAGAACACTCAGAGGAATCCCAGAGGGAGCCAGGGAGAGGCACAGGGATGGCAAGGGGGACAGGAACAGCTCAGGAACTCAGGGCTGCTGTGGGGGAAAGGGAGGACACAGAACAAAGCAAATCCCACAAAATCTCTTTAGGGTGGGGGAAAGAAACATTAACCCCTGAAGTGGCTGCTGTAAGGAAAGGTGAGGACACAGAACAAAACAAATCCTACAAAATCTCTTTAGGGTGGGGGAAAGAAACATTAACCCCTGAAGTGGCTGCTGTAAGGAAAGGTGAGGACACAGAACAAAGCAAATCCCACAAAATCTCTTTAGGGTGGGGGAAAGCCAACGTTAACCCCTGGAAGTGGCTGCTGTGGGGGGTTTGGACCAGCAGAGCACAAGGACATTTCTGGGGATGAGAACATCCAGGATTTTCAGGCAGGGAAAGAGTTTATGAGGAGTATGAGCTGCTCTGCTCAGGGCATGGAGAATGGAATTGCCAGGAGAAAAATATTTCTCCCAGGAGCCTGTCATGACAAAATTATCTGTCCTGTGGGCTTGGGGCTTTTCCCTGGTGGATTTGATGGATGTAACCCTTGCTCCTGCCCACAGCAGCTGGGCCAGCACATGGACTGGCAAGGGAGAAATGGATAAAACAAAACCAGAGAGGGGAGCACAGGCTGGGAGAACAGGGAGCAGCCAATTCCCTGGGGAATACCCCAGGCTGAGGGAACAGGCAGGGAAAGGAGCAGAGCCACACAGCAGAGCCCCTCACGCTCCCTGCAGAGCCTCCAGCACAGCCAGGGAAGCAGGAAAAGCTCAGGATCTGCAGGGGAATTTATGGTGCCAAGGAGATGCTTTAGAGCAGCAGAGCCTGCACAGGGAGCAGGCAGAGGCTCTGCCATCATTCCCACACATTTCCCTTCCCACTTTCCTGTCCCTGCAGCTGCAGCCCTCAGTGTGGGCAGGGGGCAGCCCTGGCAGCTCAGCACAGCTCCAGGGTGATCCATGTCACAGCCCCAGAGCCCCTGGAGCTCTCCAAGGCTCCCCACAACCCCGAGGGGGCTCTCAGGAGACCCTGGAAGAGGAGCTCCAGTGGTCCCTCCAACCTGACCCCTCCTGGGGTTCTGTGGTGGCTGCTGCCACCCTGGAGCAGGGACAGGGCTGCTCCCCTCTCCTCACAGGTCTGGGACCCTCCTTGCCAGCACTTTGCTCCAGCCCAGACCCCTCAGGATGCTCAGCAGACCTGTCCCAGCTGCACCCTGGGTCCCCTCAGCCAGGGTCAGTGTCCAGCTGTCCCCCCTGCCCTGCCATCCCTCAGGAATGACCCTGGGAAGGGTTTCTGGTCTGAGGGGCTCCTGCCCTCCCTGCTGTGCCCCCTGGGAGGACAGTGCCCAGCCTGTGTCCCCCCCCTGCTCTGGCAGCCCAGACAATGAGAACAAATAGGTGCCACCAAGGGCTGCAGGGCCACACCTTGGATCCCAATAATGACATGTCAGCTCTGCAGGAGCCACCCAGGGCAGCAGCCATTCCCTGGCAGCCTGCTCTGCCTGCCTGCCTGATAAATGATGCTCCAGGGGCTGCAATGGATTAGGGAGCGTTCCAGCAGCTGGGGCCCGGGCTGGGAGGAATCCATCGTGCCAGGACAGGTGTCCCCAGCCCATTTGTAACCCCCTCCCTTCCTCCTGAGCTCCAGCTGCTCCAGAAACAGGAGCCAGAGGCTGGAGGGGGCATGGACACCAGAGCTGGCCCTGCCAGAGCTGGAGTGGCTCTGGAGCATGGCACAGTGCTCCTGGCACCACAGGGGACAGCCCGGGTGCCAGCTGGGCACACAGTGCCACCCTGGCAGCCAGCCCACCCCTGGGTTCAAGCAGTTTTGTCCCAGCCCCTTCCCTGAGCACCCCTCGTGTCCCCCCACGGAGGGCTGGGGTCAGGAGCAGCACAAGGCTGCGTTAATTGCTCTCCAGACTGCAATCAATAGAAGGATTTTAGCCTCTGCACACTCCATCCTTCACCTCTGCCAAAGCACGGGGGAGGAGGAGGAGGAGGAGGAGGAGGAGGAGGAGGAGGAGGAGGAGGAGGAGGAGGAGGAGGAGGAGGAGGAGGAGGAGGAGGAGGAGGAGGAGGAGGAGGAGGAGGAGGAGGAGGAGGCAAGGCTGCGTTAATTGCTCTCCAGACTGCAATCAATAGAAGGATTTTAGCCTCTGCACACTCCATCCTTCACCTCTGCCAAAGCACGGGGGAGGAGGAGGAGGAGGAGGAGGAGGAGGAGGAGGAGGAGGAGGAGGAGGAGGAGGAGGAGGAGGAGGAGGAGGAGGAGGAGGCTGCTGAAACCTTGAGGAGATGAGGTCATCGAGCCACAGCCCAGAAAGCAGCTCTGGGAATGGAGCTGGGACAGAGAGGGACAGCAGGGACAGAGAGGGACACAGAGGGACACAGCAGGGACAGAGCAGGGACAGAGCTGGGACAGAGAGGGACACAGCAGGGACAGAGCAGGGACACAGCAGGGACAGAGTTGGGACAGAGCAGGGACACACAGGGACAGAGCAGGGACAGAGAGGGACAGCAGGGACAGAGAGGGGCAGCAGGGACAGAGAGGGACACAGAGGGAGGAGCAGGGACAGGGACAGAGCAGGGACAGGGCAGGACAGGGACAGAGCAGGGACAAGGCAGGGACAGGGACAGAGCAGGGACAGGACAGGGACAGGGACAGGGACAGGGACAGGGACAGAGCAGGGACAGGGACAGAGCAGGGACAGAGCAGGGACAGGGACAGAGCAGGGACAGGGACAGAGCAGGGACAGAGCAGGGACAGAGAGGGACAGAGCAGGGAGAGAGCAGGGAGAGAGCAGGGACAGAGAGGGACACAGCAGGGACAGCAGGGACAGAGCAGGGACACAGCAGGGACAGAGCAGGGACAGAGCAGGGACAGAGCAGGGACAGAGCAGGGACACTGCAGGGACAGAGCAGGACAGAGAGGGACAGAGCAGGGGACACAGAGGGACAGAGCAGGGACAGAGCTGGGACAGAGCAGGGACAGAGAGGGACAGAGCTGGGACAGAGCAGGGACAGCAGGGACAGAGCAGCTCCTCCTCCTCCCAGTGCCCCCAACTCAGCGTCCTTCTCAGCTGGATGCTTCTCCCCTCTCCTCTCCTCCCTCCAGCTCTCCCCCTTGGCCACCTGCCTTGGCTGGGTGGGTATTTCCTAATTCCAGTCTCCAGGCGAGGTACAAGGTCCCATCCTTCCTGAGGGGGCAGTCCCTGTGCCAAAAGGGGTACAGGAATTGTGTGCCAGGGGGGAGAGGTGGGTGCAGCCCTGCCTGCCTGCCCTGGGGTGCTCTGTGCTCCCCCAGAGCCACAGGACACATTTTTCACTCTCCCCAGGACGGCTGCAGCCCTTGGATCGATACAACCCTCAACATTTCAGCTGCTGAACTCCCACCTCAAGCCCAGGTGCTGCATCCTCCACACCTCCCTGTCCTCCTGAGGCTTTGCAGGTGGGAGGATTTGCTCTGGAGCAGCACGGCAGGGCTCAAACCCACAGGGAGAGCAGCCAGAAGCCAAAGAGCCCTCAGGAAGAGACCTCCAGCTCTGGCACAGGCTGCACGAGGCAGGGGAGGAGAGCAGGGAAACCCAGCCCGGAGCCTCGAGATGTGCTGGTGATATAAATCCAAAGTGATAATAATAAATGGGCTATTACAGCATCTCACACACTGCTGGGGGAGGGAGGGGAGGCAGCCCAGCCCAGGCCTCCCCACAGAGCCTCCCAGCAGCCAGGAGCACACGGAGCTGAGCCCGTCCCTCTCTAATGGCCAGGGGGAGAAGGCTCCTGCAGGAAGGCTGGGCAGCCCGAGGCAGCAGGAATATTTATCATCCTGGCCACCTGCCTGTCGCTGAAAAATCGCTTCCTCCTTCCTGCCTGGGAGGCAGCTCTAATGAGGGATGGGCAGGCTGCTCACAGGCAGCTCCTGGCGTGGAGAACAGCACAGCACAGCCCCCCTGCTCCCTCCTCGAGCGTCCTGCCTCCTGCTAATTGCTCTGCCAGGTAATTAGCTGTGGGATGATTGGGGTTCTGGCTGGGCTGGCGGGGCTCCCTGGGTTTGAGACCCCATTTGTGCCATCCCCTGCTCTGCAGTGAGAGCAGAGCTGGCAGTGACCCCCCTGCCTGCCTGTGCCATCCAGCCCAGCTCTCCCAGTGCCTGGGGCACGGAGAGGCACCACAAAGAGCCCAGCTGCCCTGCCCTGGAACAGGGCACCTGGAAAAACCCTCCACGGCCATCAGGTGCAACCTTTGACCAGAGCACCGAGTGCCACGTCCATCCTTCCTTGGACACCTCCCAGGGATGGTGCCACCACCACCCTCTCCATGCAGAAATTCTTCCTTTAGAGACAAGACAACCTGACAAAGCAACCACAACCCCACTGCGGAAGGAGCAGGGGGCAGAACCCCCATTCCAACACTGCCCAACACATCCTCACCCCACCAGCAGCAGCAGATCCCCCGGCGCCTCACCTGCGTGGAAGTAGGGGCTCATGGTGTAGGGGAAGCCGAAGGGCAGCGGCTGGGGCGCGGGCAGGGAGGCGGGAGGGAGGTATTTCACCTCGGCCTTGCCCATGCCGGGCCCCAGCAGGTGGCTGGGGGACTCGGCGCTGGAGGAGCTGCAGGCCACGCCGGAGCCCGCGCCCGCCTCGCCCGCCTCCTTGGCCCCCTCGCACGCCTTCCCCGCGCCGTCCTTGCACTCCTTGAGCTCCGCCGCCGAGCCGCCCTCGGCCTTCGGCGCCTCGGCCTTGTCCTCGGCGGCCTCGGCGTCGCTCTCCGAGTCCTTCATCTCCTCGTCGTTACAGTCCTGGGCCCCGTCCCTGGCGCGCGGCTCGCGGGCCTCGCCGGGGCCCTGCGGCTCCGCGCGGGGCTGCGAGGCCTTGCGGCCGCCGCCCGCCCGCCGGGGCTGCTCCTTGGGCGGCGTGGCGGCGCCGGGGCCGCCGGGGGTGAGGGACAGCAGCGGGGCGTTGTTGTGCCGCAGCACCAGCATGGCGTTGCGCCGGGACAGCTCGTCGCGCAGCGCGTGGCCCTCGGGGACGTCGTGCACGCTGCGCAGCGCGGGGTGGTCCGGGGGCAGCCCCGGGTGCAGGCTCAGGGGGTCTCCGGCCAGCAGCCTCTGACGGTGCAGGGTCTCCAGCTCCTTCTGGCGGATCAGCTCGGCCGACATCTCCAGCCTGGGAGGAGAGAGGGGATTTTGGTGGGGGGTTGGAGGAATGAGGTCCTACCCAAGCCTTGCACGAGGGAGGTGTCAGCTGCACACCTGCACAGGCCTCACTCAGATCCTGCTGTGCCGTCTGCGTCCAGCTCGGGACAAACCCGGGACAAAGCCAGGACAAACCCACACCATGACAAACCCACACCATGACAAGCTCAGGACAAATCCAGGACAAACCCACACCAGAACAAACCCATACCAGGACAAACCCACACCATGACAAACCCATACCAGGACAAACCCAGGACAAACCCAGGACAAATCCAGGACAAACCCACACCAGGACAAACCCACACCAGGACAAACCCAGCCCTTTCCACTCCTACCTGGCCAGGTTTTGCTTCCGTAGCATCTCCTGCTGCCGTGCGAACATCTCCGCCTGTGCCGGCTGGAGGAACCCGTAACCTGGGCAGGGAGAGCACTGCGGGTTACTCCTGTCAGCACTGACCCTTGGCTGCCTCAGGGCCAGCTCCCCACGGGGAAAAATGGCACCTGAGTGCTGCTTTTTATTCCAGAGCACACCTAGCCCTCACTGCCACAGCAGCGTGGCCAAACACGGGGCCAGGAAGGGCAGCCAAGGAATGTGCTCCTCTGGCTGCAGAACCAGGGTGAAGTCAGCCCAGCAGCCGTGGGGGGACACAGAAAAGCCGTGTGGGCTGTCTGGCTGCAGGGCAGACTGTCACAGGCTGCAGCTCTGCCCTGCCCTGGCTGCCCACCAGCGTCACCGGAGCGCTCACCTGGCGTCTGGCACAGCGCTGAAGGCACCCCGAGGAAGGGAGGTCTCAGGTGGGGCCCCAGGGCGATGTGGGGAGCGTTCTGGGGCGACAGCAGAGGCGGTGGGTGGGATATCTCCCTGCAGGAATCACAAAGTAAAGCCCTGGTGAAAACCTGGAGGCTCCAGCCTGGCTCAGGAAGAACATCTTGGCAGCAGATGAGCTGCATCCTGCCCAGAGGCTGCTCTCTGCCTCTTCACCCTCATGCAGAGCTGCTAAAATGGAGAGAAAAAAGCAAAAGCAGCGGAACCAAAAGGGGAAGAAGGCAGCCAGGACTCCACAGGTCCCACACATTTCCCACCTTTGCTCCCGTGGCCTTTCAGCCGGGCTGTCCAAAGGGTTTTCCCCTTTGCTTCAAGGGCAGGGCTGAGGATGCTCCATCTGCCCCTCCCTCATCACATTTGGGTTCCTGCCTCAACCACCTCGCAGCTGAGAAGGAATTCTGTGCTTGGGCAGTGGGTTTGGCAAGATCTGAAAGCATCACTGGCTTGCCTTGCAAAAAACACCTGTCCTAGCTGGGCTAAGGGATGACCTTTAATCGTGGAGAGGAAAGCTGGAAGTGAGGCAGAGGAAAATACAGACAGGAGAGGGATGTGAGCAGGAAGGGCAACGGGGTCAGGGGGAAGGAATCCTGCTGGAGAAGGGGTGGGTGAAGCCAGGCAGAATGGGTAGAGCAGATGCCAGGGGCTGGGGAAACTCAAGAGAGGCAGGATTGGGTGGTGGGAAGGGGACAATTCTGGAGAAAAGGCAGGGAGCACTTACAGTAGGAGAGAAGGCAGGGAAAAAAAAAAAAAAAAGGCAGGAAGGGAATAAGAGCCAAGGTCTCTTCCATTAGTCAAATCTGCCCTGGGAGCCTGCAAGCAAATCTGCTTTCCGGCTGCACGTCTCTTAATTCCTTTTGATGGCCACTTACAACATTATTACCTTCAGCAGGGCATCCAGAGGCACAGCCAAGTGCGGGGCCGTTTATTTTCATTTTACAGTATCTCCCTGGAAAAATCTGCTCCCAGGGAGGCTGGAGGCCAAGGCAGAGGGAGGCAGAAGGTGCCTGTGACTTTGCAACAGACACAGCACGTGCAGAGGCACCGCAGTGGGGGGATAATGATGGGAGCATCCTGGCCATCCATGGCTTGTGGGCATGGATAGCTCATGGAAATGGATCAGATATGGAAATGGATCAGATATGGAAATGGATCAGATCATGGAAATGGATCAGGTCATGGAAATGGATCAGGTCATGGGAATGGATCAGATCATGGGAATGGATCAGATCATGGGAATGGATCAGATATGGAAATGGATCAGATATGGAAATGGATCAGACATGGAAATGGATCAGATCATAGGAATGGATCAGATATGGAAATGGACCTGGTCATGGAAATGGATCTGGTCATGGAAATGGATCAGGTCATGGAAATGGATCAGCTTGTGGGCATGGATCAGATCATGGGAATGGATCAGATATGGAAATGGATCAGCTCATGGACATGGATCAGATCACAGAAATGGATCAGATCACAGAAATGGATCAGCTCATGGGCACGGACAGCTCATGGAAAGCCAAACAGGGACTCCTGGGCATGAAGTGGGCGAGGAGAGCCCTTCCCAGCGCAGCTTCATCCCCGCTCTGCGCAGCCCCACACGCCGCCCCAGCTGCGCTTCCCCTCCCCAGCTCCTCCTTTCCCGCAGCAGCCCGTGCCATCTGCCCATCCCTGCCTGGCTCCTGGCTCCGGCTCCCTTCCTCCCGGCTGCCCTGGCTCTCCTCTAACCTAATTGCGGCCCCGGCGGTGTCTGGAGGCGCGGCGCGGATCGATCGGGGGCTGCTGCAATGTTAATGCCGCCCGTGCGCCGCGCTCCGCTGGCAGCTCCAATTAATCTCAGGTAACGCCGCGCTCGACCTTCGCCTCCGAGCCGGGGCAGCAGCCAAGCGATGCTTATGTAATTACACCGTGAAGTGTGTAATCACCTGCCCTAATCCCCGAGGCCTCGCAATTAGCCGGGGCCGCGGTGGCCGGGCTGCCAAGTGCTGCTGCCACCCGGGCCGGCCCCGCGGATGAAAAACGGACAATTAAAGCGGCGTGACGGGGGCTCCGAGGTGTCCGCTCGATCGTAATTAGCTGTAATCATGGGGAGACGAGCCTGCCAGACGTGCCGCTCGTTTTATAAGAAGCAATTTAGGAAATCAAGTCGCTGTTAACCATGGCGTGGCCGTGCCCTCCTTCGCTTCGCCTCGGGGATGTGAGGGAAGGGATCCTGCGGGACATCCAGGCTGCCCGTGCAGAGCTCAAAAACAAAGGAGCTCCTTGATGGATGCCAGTCTGCGCCCAGGAAGCAGAGGGTGGGATGGGATCAGGGCTGGGTGCTGGAAAAGGAAAGGTTCTCCCTTTGCTGGCAGCCCAGTGCTCATCCCAGGTTGTTTTTGCGCTTTCATGTTGTGCTACGGGGCATGGCTTTGATCCCTGAGGAATTCACATCTGCTCCAGACTCTGCAGTTCATTCCCTCAGAGCTTCCCTGCCTTCCTGGGCCAGCCAGAGCCCTGGGGAGCCCCTCAGCTGCGTGGCCACGAGGGACAGACCCTCTGTGGCACCCCACAGAGCCACCCTGCCAGGCACAGAACCTGCTGGAGCCTGCCCTGCTCCCTGCCAGCCCATCTGCCCCATCCTTGGCACCACGGGGAGCTGGCACAGGAGGGAGGCAGCAGCACCAGGTCGTGCCCTGGCACAGGGCTGGGCAGCCCTCCCAGCCTTGCCAGCCAGCTGGGAAAATAACTGGCAAGCCCAGAGTGAAAAGCCCCCGAGACCTGAACAAAGGCTGCTGTGCCCTCACACAGGTGTGCAGCAAACGCTGATCCCTGCATCCTCTCCCAGGTACCTGTCAGCCTCGAATCCCCCATCAAATTCCTTCCTCCTCTTCCTCCACGGCTCAGAGGCAGAATTGCAGTGCCCTACTCTGAGGAGGTGAATTTAGCCCCTGGCAATTACATCTGATAAGCCTTGTCCTTCCCTGGAAGAGAGCAATTCTGTGTTGCTGCACATTCCTCCCCCTGCCCCCTTTTCCTCTTCCCCCCCTAAAATGCCAGCTGGAGGCTTGTGAGCAGGGTATTAGGGGATTTGCACTGCACGCTGCTAAATTTGATATGTCCTTTAACAGGAGACAAATGGTTCACAAGGCTTAAAAAGTATCGACTTTTCTTTAACAATAAGCACTAATGGCCTTCAAATAATCAATATTTAAAGTCATTATGGGGTTACACATTATACTGTTAAAACCAAGCCTTTCACTTTAACCCCATCATATCCTCCCCAGCCTGGAGCTGAGCTCCCCCCTGGCTCCAGCCAAGCTCTGGGGGAAGGCTGGGAGCACAGGCTGTGACTGGAGATGTGAGAGGGTCAGGAAATGCAGATTGAAACCGGCAAGGCATGGAAATAAATTTAGAACGGATGGAAGAAGAGGGAAGGGCGGGGGGGAAAGAATGCATGAAAGCTCTGCTTTCTTCTGCTCTGCATTTGATAGGAAGAGACACTTTAAACCCGAGGTAACAGGCAGGAGGCACAGAGCTCCTCGCTGCTCTGCCATCCCCAGACTGCCAGCAAGGGAGAATAAATAAAATCAAAGGTCTTGCTTAAAATGCTGTTTGGGATTTCCAGGCAGGAAAAGAACATGTGCTGGCACTGGCCTGGCTGTGGAGAGGGGCTGGTCTGTGCTGCCCCCTCCAAATTCAAACTGCTGCTGAAACCAAAGTGGTTAAACCAGGGCAAGCTCCTTGGCCTCTGCTCTGCAGCACGTTCAGCCAGGTGGGAACCAGGGAGGAGGGATCCTGGCAGGGCAAAAATCAGAACATCAGAGCCTTCAGAGAGGAGAGGGGACACAGGGCTGGCCTGGGAAAGAGCAGGAGAGAGATGGTGCCCAGGGAGGGCAGGAACTGTACCCAGAGAGGGCAGGAGCTGTGCCCAGGGAGGTGCCCAGGGAGGGCAGGAGCTGTGCCCAAGGAGCCAGCAGGGAAAAGGAAAACCTCCCCAGAGCAGGGAGGAGGAATGAGGCGGTGGAAGAACAAACCGTGGGAAGAGCAGATGGGAGGAAGGGAATCCAAAAAGCCAGGCTGGGTATTTTGGGCACATCCCTGCTCAGAGGAAGCCTCTGGCTGGTGCACGGTGTCTGTCAGCTCCTGCAGGGGAGGCAGTGGGTGCCTCTCTCAGCTCCCAGCCCCAGCTCAGCCCTGCCAAGGGGCTGGGCTTCCCAGGACCCCGGCATGGGGGTGCTGCTGGCACCCCAGGCTGGCAGCATTCCATGCTCTTGGCATTCCTGCTGCCTCCCCCGGATCCTGGGGGATGAGCTGTGCTCCCCCTGCCTGCTCAGGCAGCACAGAGCCACTGCTTGTACCCACACCTGCCTCAGCACCTGCCTGCCTCTGCCCTCTCCCCTGAGAGGGGCGGGACCCCCAGACCCCACACCTCACCCTGCAGGCACAAAAAGCAACTCCCAGCACAGAAATGATGCACCAAACCCAGCCATGGAGCTTCACCTGAGTGAGCACAGAGCCCAGCATCTCACCCAGCCCTGCTCAGCTCCTGTCCAACCCCACTGAGCACAGAATCCAGCCCTGCTCAGCTCCTCTCCAACCCCTTCTGTGTGCAGGGCATGAAAGATTTTCCCCAGGCTCCACCCAGAGAGAAGCAGGGATGAGCACCTTGGGGAGGAACACTCCAGGCTGAAGGACCCCAGCAGAACTTTGCCAACAAATCCTGGAGACAGCAAGCAAGGAGCAGCATCCAAGCAGCTCTGCAGGGTACAGCCACCTGCCAGCTCTGCAGGAGAGGCAGCAGTGTGGAGATGGAAGAGCTCCAGGCTGGAGTGCTTACAGTGGCACCTTTCAGTTGTACCCTCTCCTCTTCCAAGTCTTTTTATAACACTGAACTCAACCATCTTCCCAAACACACCACCAGGCCCTGGCACGCCAGCATCCCAGCTGAATCCATCCCCAAAGGATCTAGGAAACCAAAACCACGAAACCAAATGAATTCTCCAGACTGTGGCTCGAGCCTGCTTTTGGCAAGATGTCTCAGTTTCACTGACTCCAGGGAGCAAAGAGATCAAGGGACCACTCTGCCCCTACCAGGACCTCGGCTAAAGAAAACCCACATCAGTGTGTTTGTGTGCCTCATCCCCACAAAGCCAAGCTCCCAGCCTGTTTCTGACCAGCAAAGACACAATAATTAATTAATTAACGGGGTTTATCTGGACCTCCCCACGCTCAGCCCGCCCCTCCTGCCAGCAGCACCTCCCCGTGAGCAGCCTCCACCCTTCCGTGGATGCTTTTCCAGGCAGCCCTGGGGCCGGCCTGGCTCCTCTCCAGCCCACACAGCGCTGGGGAAACGTTCCTGAGAGCGGCTGCAGGGGCTCCTCCAGCCCTGCATTCCTCCCAGGTCTGCTCAGGAGCTGGGATTTATGGGCTGGGTTAGCCAAAGTACACGCTGTGGGAGAGAGGCTTCCAGGGCTGCTCAGCCCCTCCACAGTGCAAAGGTGCTGCTGGCAGAGGAGGAAAACCAGACAGGATCTAAATGGGGGGGGGACTCTGGACTCAGCACATCCATACACACGCTGCAGAGCTGATAGTGCAGCCTGCTCTGCCCCCACCCCGACACAAAAGCCAAGGGAAGTGTAAATACCAGAGCCTTTCACTGCTCATCCCATGACATCCAAAGGCTCTGCATCCCCACAGCCCCCTCCTGTCCCCTCCATCCCTGTCAGGAACGCACGCAGCTTTAATTTAATTTCCCTCTGAAGTTCTTGATTGCAGAGGGAATGGCTCGTGGCACAGAGCAAGATAAATGAGCTAGAATTTCCTGGGGGTGGGGGGATATCAGCTTTCCAGCACTCCTAGCAGTGGGAGAGGCAAGCTGAGGCTTTTTTCCTTAACAAAGAAAACTTCTCTTTCTGCTCCACCTCAGAGCATTTCTCCTCTCTCATTATGTGGGGACGCTATGAAATGCAAACTTCAACACCTCAACTTCTGCCCACCAACAGGTGAGAGTGGCACCTCCAGCACAGGTTTGGGATCATTCCAGCCTGGCAGTTGCTCCCCTGGATGTGGATGCAGATCAGCACAGGCAAAGATTCCCCCCTTTCCATACAGACCCCAGAGCGGGGCAGGAGCATCCCCAGCACCTGCCCAACCCCCAGAGGAGATGATCATACCTTGTCCAGGCAAATCAGCTCTGCCCAGCTCAGAATGACACAATCCCAAAGGCTGGAAAAGCCTCTAAAACCACCGAGTCCAGCCACGACCCTGACACCACCAAAGCATGTCCCCAGTGCCACATCCACACGGTTTGTGAACACTTCCAGGGACGGTGACTCCCAAACTGCCCATGCCATGCCATGCCATGCCATGCCATGCCATGCCATTGATCCTACCCCACGCCATGATGCTGATCCCATGCCATGCCACGCCACGCCATGCCATGCCATGCCATCCCACTGATCCCATCCCATCCCATCCCTGACCCAGCCGTTCCCCCCACCCGTGCCACCCCTCCCGGCCGGTGTGAGCCCCCCGCCCCCGGCAAACCCCGCCCCGGGGCCGTGCCGTACCTGTCGGGGAAGTGGCTGTCCCTGTGCTGGGGCAGGCCCTGCTTCCTGCGCTGGCTGGACGAGTTGCTGGCCGAGGGGATGTGCGCTTCCATCGCGCCCGGGGTCCGCGCCGCCGCCGCCGCCGCCACCTCCTGCCGCGCCCGGAGCAGATCTGGGCAGCAGGGGACCGTGAGGAGCTGGGGCTGGGGCTGGACCAGGAGCTGCTGCTGCCCGGCCCCGGCCCCGCTGGACACACGGACACACAGACGGACGGACACACGGACGGACACACGGACACACAGATGGACAGACACACGGACAGACACACACACACACATGGTCACACAGATGGACAGACGGACAGACACACACACACACATGGTCACACAGACGGACAGACACATGGACACACGGTCACACACACGGACACCGGGGAGCGGCGGCCCCGGCTCCGAGCCGGCCGCGATCCGCCCCCGCCGCGCCGGGAGCTCGGCAGCGGAGGAAATTGTGCAACTACGGCACGGGGGTGGATTTGCTGCTTAATTGCCTTCCTGCCGGAGGGAGGGAGGGAGGGAAGGAGCGGAAAAAAGGGAGGGAAGGATGGATGGAAGCGAGGAGAGCCGCAGGACAGGGAGGCATTCCCAACTCCCTCTCCCGGTCGGTCCCGAGCACCTGCCCCGCTCCAGCCGTGTCCCCTCCGGGGTTACCGGAGATCTCCGTGCCCGGGTCCCCCGTGGGGGGTCTGCAGGGCTGGACCTGCCCCGGACAGGGAAGGGCTGGGCCCCGAGCAGCTGAGGGTGGGGTACAGAAGGGAACCCCCCTCCCAGCCCCAGCACAGCACTGCCTGCAGACAGCTGCAGGTGAGGAGGAAACGCAGCCCTCGTTCAGCCTGCACTGCCCTGGCACCGCGGCAGAACGTGGCACCCGTGTCACCCTGCCTGTGACACCCGTGTCACCCACCATGTCACCCTGCCTGTGACACCCCTGTCACCCACCATGTCACCTACCATGTCACCCTGCCCGTGACAACCCTGTCACCCTGCCTGTGACACCTGTGACACCCATGTCACCCACCGTGTCACCCGGCCTGTGACAACCCTGTCACTCTGCCTGTGACACCCATGTCACCCACCGTGTCACCCTGCCTGTGACACCTGTGTCACCCTGACCTTCAGGGCTCAGTGGAGCGCACACGGTGCCCTGGGATGGACGGAGCAGGCAAGGCCAGAACCACTCAAGCCCACGCCAAGGAGCCCCAGGGAGGGGCAGGTGATGCAGGTGCAGCCCATGTGCCCTGCCCTGGCCTCAGGGAACAAGTGACACGGACACCTGAGCCAGGCACACCGAGGCTTTCCAGGGGGCTGCTCTCTCCCGGTTAGCATCAGGAGTCTCTCAGTCCTGGTATCTGTGTGAAATCCCCCATCCCAGAGCCTCTGCTGCCCTTCACGTGGTGCACAGGAAACCTCCCTGAAGAGGAAACCTCCCTCACACCATCGCCCTGCCAGAGGAAACCACAGCACAGCTGGGGAGAGGAGCAGAGGCACATTTACCTCCCCAAGCACACCCCGGGCAGGATCACCTCCAACACTGACCCTGCAGAGCCCTCACGCCCAGCAGCACACCCACCTCTTCCCACAGCTGCTTTGGAAAGCTGTAGGAGCACTGCACAACCCTGGTAATGCCACATTTTCCATCTCTGTGTCTCCCTCTTCCCCAGCAGGCTCTTCTCCCTCAGTTCTGGAAATCCCAGCCATCCCTCCTGGCACCAAGACGTGCCCAGCCCAGCCTGAGCTCCATCAATCACATCAAACACCGGGGTGATGGTCAGGGCTGGAGCCCCGTGCTGGGCTGAGAACGCTCCCACAGCTGCTGTTTGTGCTGGCAGCAAGGGGGACAGCAGTGCCCCAATTTCTGGCCACATTCCTGCCCCTGTCCCCACGCCCCAGCCGAGGGGACAAACACTGAAACGACAATTCTGAACCGCACAAGCACGCAGGGAACAGCCAAACACCATCAGATCACTGAAAAAAAAAAAAAAAAACAAAAAAAAAAACCCAGAGAATTCGCCGAGCCAGGCAGACCGTGCAACCTTGCAATGTTTATAAATTAATTATCTGAAAAACCCAGGTCACTCCTGATTGCCACGGCGGCTGTAATTTAGAAGGCTGGCGTGCAGCCAGCTCCAGGAGCCGCATTGATCCTGAGTGACCGCAACAACCCCCCGGAGGAGAGGGGGGGAGGGGGGGCTGAAAAGCAATTAAAAAAAAAAGATTTCTAAATTATTAACATTTTTTAAATTATTAATGTTATTGGTGCCTCCGTGTGAGCCCGCAGATAAACTGCGCTTTGTACTGGCACTAATAATTTATAGCCCAACCAGAGCCCCGTGGTGTGGAGACAATCCAAAAATACACCAAGTTCTGTCTTGTCAGTGTTCCCCGAGCGAGTCTGCCCGTGCAGGATCCTTCTCCCCCCCTGCCCACCCCAAAACCCCAGCGTGACCCGCCCCCCCAACAAATGCTGATGAGGGAGTTTAATCATCACCATACAAACACGTCAGGCTCTCAAGGTAATGAGCTCCTCTCGTTATTTTGGGGGCAGAGGGTGATCCAGCTGTACCCCAGCACACACTGGTGGGATGGACACCCGGGGCCAGGCTCTGTCCCCACCCTGGTCACCCCCACGCTCTGTGCTGTGCTCAAGCTCTGCCAGGCTCCAGTCACGGCTGAATATTCAGTGCCACCCTTTTGTCACACGCCGTCCCTCCCTGTGCGTGTTCCCATGTGTCATCCCGGCCCTGTGGCACACAGCTCTGCCCCTCAGCCACCAGAGCTGAGTTTTCAGGGGCTCTGCAGTGCCTGGCACAGCCCAGCCCAGCCCCAGCTGGTGCCACCTCCCCACGGGGCCGGGGCAGGTTTGTGTTTGTGCCCGATAAGCAAATCCTTCCTCCACAGCAATCCCTTCCTGCCCCCAGAGAAGCCAATCAAATCAAACAGAGTGGAAAAGAAGACAGCCTCTTCATTAACCTAACAAGGAGCCCTGGGGATTCACACTCTGGAGCAGAGATCCTCCTGCAGCTCCTGCTGATGCTCTGCTCCTGAGCCAGGCAGGGACGTGCCAGCCCTGCACACCTCGGGCAGGGAGCAGCACAGGACACATCCTGGCACGGCTCTGCCCTTCAGACACGCTCCAGCCCTCTGAACAGCATCCCCTCTGCCACGTCCCTGCCTCTGCCTGCTGCAGCTGAGTTATCTCCCTCCCCTGTGGGAGAGCACTGGGGACAGGGCAGGGCTTTGCTGGGGCAGACTGGGCCAGTGGCAGCAGGCTCTGCTCACCCGAGGGCAGGTGAGGAGCACGCACCTCTGGAGGGATGCTCCACCTCTGGAGGCATGCTCCAGCTGTGGAGGGATGCCCTACCCATGGAGGGATGCTCCAGCTGTGGAGGGATGCTCCAACTGTGGAGGCATGCTCCAGCTGTGGAGGGATGCTCCAGTGGTGGAGGGATGCTCCAGCTGTGGAGGGATGCTCCAACTGTGGAGGCATGCCCTACCCATGGAGGGATGGTCCAGCTGTGGAGGGACCTGTGGAGGGATGCTCCAGCTGTGCAGAGATGCTCCAGCTGTGGAGGGACCTGTGGAAGGATACTCCACCCATGGAGGGATGCTCCAGCTGTGCAGGGACCTGTGCAGGGAGATGCTCCACCCCTGGAGGGATGCTCGTGATCCTGCAACCTCCTGGTGCCCCCTTTAGGCACAGCCCAGGACGTGCTGGATGCACCAGCTCCCTCCAAAAGCCTGGGAAAACCTTCCAGCAGCCCTCAGTGCCTGTGGGACTCATCCCGGGACTTCAGGACCTCCAGACACTGCTCCAGCCCCAGTAGAAGGCAGCAACACCACCTCACCATTCCCATCCCGAAGTGCCAGGGAGGGCTGGCACTGCCAGCATCTCACCCCTTTGCTGCACACCACAAATCTCTTACTCCAGCCCAAATCTCTTCCTGCAGAGATCCCCAACGATCAGTTGGACACAAACTCTTCAGACAAGAGAAGGACCCCCCTCACCTCCCCTGCAAACACAGAGCACTGCAGCTGCTGAGCCCTCCAGCAGGAAAAGCACATCCCCAGGGGTGGTGACAGAGGGAACCAGCACTTACAGCCAGCCAAGGGGAGATTCCTCCACAAAAATGGACAAAGGCTCTGCAGGAACCCCTTCAGCACCACCAGGGCATGACAAACACCCAGCACTGCAGCCCATGCACCCCCCAGTGCACACAGGGCTCAGGGACATCCCCCAGACCCATCCCAAATGAGTCCAGAGCTCAGGAACATCTCCCAGATCGATCTCAAAGGAATCCAGGGCTCAGGAACATCTCCCAAATGAGTCCAGGGCTCGGGGCCATCTCCCAAACCCACCCCAAACAAGTCCAGGACTTGGGGCCATCTCCATCCCAAATGACTCCAGAGCTCAGGAACATCTCCATCACAAATCACTCCAGGGCTCGGGCCATCTCCATCCCAAGCATCTCCAGGGCTCAGGAACATCTCCCAGACCCATCCTAAATGAGTCCAGAGCACAGGATCATCTCCCAAACAAGTCCAGGGCTCAGGAACATCTCCCAGACCCATCCTAAATGAGTTGAGAACACAGGAACATCTCCCAAACCCATCCCAAATAACTCCAGGACTCAGGACCGTCTCCCAAACGAGTCCAGGGCTCGGGGCCATCTCCATCCCAAGTGACTCCAGGGCTCGGGGCCATCCCCCAGCCCACCCCCGTGGCAGCAGAGCCCACAGTGCCCGCGGTGCCAGCCCTACCTCCGTGGCTGGGCACTGCCATGCTGTTGGCCAGCTGGTAGAGGCGCTGCTGCTGCTGCTCCTCGAAGGCGCCGTGCTCGTTGAGCGCCGACATCATGCGCCTGTAGTGCTCCTCCGGGGTCATCTGCGCCACCTCCTCCAGCACCGGCGTCTGCGACGTCTCTGGGGACACAGGCACAAAAATAAAGCAGCTGGGGCCCGGGTTCCACCTGCAGAAAAGCTGGGTCTTCGCTCATATTGGTGGTGTTTATAGGAAATATCAGAGGGGGTGTGTCGGGCTGCACCGAGGGAAATATAGGTTGGGTATTAGGGAAAAGATTTTTACAGAAAGGGTGGTCAAGTTTTTTACAGAAAGGGTGGTAAAGCTTTTCACACAAAGGTGGTGAAGTTCTGGAATGGCTGCCCAGGGAGGGGCTGGAGTCACCATCCCTGGATGGGTTTAACAAAGCCTGGATGTGGCACTGGCTGCCAGGGTTGGGTTGAGGGGTCAGGGCTGGGTTAGACTCCACGGTCTTGAAGGTCTCTTCCAACATGGGGAATCTGTGAATTTGGGGGAATTTCGGGAATTCCCAGGAGCCAGGGAGGTGCTGGAGTCACCATCCCTGGATGTGGCACTGGCTGCCAGGGTTGAGTTGAGGGGTTGGGGCTGGGTTGGACTCTGTGGTCTTGAAGGTCTCTCCCAGCCCAGTAATTCTGGGATTCTGTGTTAAACTTGACGCAGTGAAACCCAGCTCATTGGTTGGTAAGGGCTGTGGAATATGTCTATTAATAATTTTCTCTCTCTAGATACGCTCACATATTTTCTTCACTGATTTTTATGGGTCAGATCTCTTGTTTTTGCAGGTGTAGACCGTTTTTCCTCTACAAGAATAGTTTGGTAACTGTTTTTCACTCCACTAAATTTTCCTTGTAGGAACTTATAAACCTGTTGGTAATTCAGAATTCAGGAGAGCAAGGCCTAACAGTGCTGCCACCCAACCAAGGGACAGAGCTACAACATCCCCAAGAGACAGAGCTGCCACATCCCCAAGGGACAGAGCTACAACATCCCCAAGGGACAGAGCTGCCACCCAACCAAGGGACAGAGCTGCCACCCACCCAAGGGACAGTGCTGCCACCCACCCAAGGGACAGAGCTGCCACCCAACCAAGGGGCAGAGCTACAACATCCCCAAGGGACACAGCTACATCCCCAAGGGACAGAGCTGTCCCCAGCTGCCCAGCCCCCAGAGGGACACCCAGAGCAGGCTGCTTCCCCTCTCTCCCCCTGGGGGCTCCCAAAGCCCCCCCTCGGTGCAGAGGGATCCCAGCCTGGCAGGGAGGGAGGCAGACCCGCAGGGGTTTTGTGTTTACTGTAAGCACAGCTCGCAGTAATTACTGCTCTCCGCCTTGGCTGCTCCAACACTATTTTATCTTGGATCTTTCCCACAGGCAAAGCCTTTTCATTACTCAGAGAGGAACTCCCAGGCACGGGGGAAGGGGGGTGGCAGGGCTGGCAGTCACAGGAGCGCTGCAGGGCTGGGGTGACAGGGCCACCCTCCCGTGTGTGCCCCAATTCCTGCTGCAGGACTGGCCCCAGAGCCGCGGGGGTGGCACTTGTCACAGCCCAGGCACTGGAAATGCTGCTGGGAGGGGCCGTGGGTCTGTGCCACAGGGGACAGAGGGGCTCCCACCAGCAAAGGTGAGTGTGGGGCAGCCAGGAACAGCCTGGGACACACAGGGGCTGAGGGAGCTCAGGGACTGGTGCTGCCTTTGTCTGACACCCAACCCACGGGGCTGGGTCTTTGGGGGGTGAAACTTTCCACAGGCTGTGATGAAACCACCACCCCCTCCCCAAAATAGGGGAGGGAAACTCATCATCATCTCATCATCATCATCAGCAGCAGCAGCAGCTCATCATCATCCCTGGGACACACAGGGGCTGAGGGAGCTCAGGGACTGGTGCTGCCTTTGTCTGACACCCAACGCACGGGGCTGGGTCTTTGGGGGGTGAAACTTTCCACAGGCTGTGATGAAACCACCACCCCCTCCCCAAAATAGGGGAGGGAAACTCATCATCATCTCATGATCATCATCATCACCACCAGCTCATCATCAATCCAATAAAAATGAAATATAACAATAATAAAATATAAAAATAAATAGCAATGAATAATGAGTAACTATAATAACAATAATAATTATAGTAATTATAGTGATTGAAGAAATAATAATAATAATAATAATAATAATAATAATAATACTAGTAGAGTGTGAGCTGCACAACATTTCCACACCAAAGGGCTGCATCCCTGGCTCCCCAGAGCAAAGGGGAAGTGATTCCAGCTCGCTCAGCCCTCCAGCAGGGCGAGGGCTCTCCTCACACACACCCTGGCTGCCCTGCAGCCTCGTGCCCCAGTGACACACATCTGCACCCCCTGCCTCTCCCCGGGCAGCTCCCAGCCCTGCTGGGATCAGAGCTGGGCTCCCACCCTGCCCTGGGTCCCCCAGCCCCAAAACCCAGACCCCAAGGGCAGGGGCTGCTCTGGGCACAGCCGTGCTCTGCCTGCTCCCCCAACCCCACCCCAAAGCTGCAGGACACCCCTGGAAGCAGCAGGGGAGGGAGGAGAGGGCAGAATTCCCTGCCAGGTCTCCTTCCCAGCAGGGAGGATTCCCTCCTCCTCCTCCTCCTCCCCCAGGGATGCAGAAGCTCACTGTTTCAGTTCCCTCCTGATGCTCTTACCCAAAGGTCTCAGGAGCAAAGCCACAGACCTGATTTAGAAAAACACTGATTTTTTTTTTTTCCCCCCACAGCTGTGTCATTAGAGCAAAAAAAGGGAGGGGGGAGGGGATTTAATAACACTTAATTACCATAAACTCTATCGGATCAGCCGCAGAGCAGCTTTCAGGTGCGAGGAGGGGAGGGAGAATGGGGGTGGCGAGGGGAGGCTAAGAGGAAGGAGGAATCCAGGGAAAGGCTGGATTTCCATGCTTAAAACTTGGAAGATTTCACATGACTCAGCCAGCAGTAATTCCAGCTTTGCTGGAGCTTTGCTGTCTGCTTTTGTCATTACCAGGGGTAATGCGGGAGACTGATCTCGCCAAATCTCCCGCAGCCGCCAGGTGTGAAATGGACTCTGGCAGAGCACCGGGCAGGCAGAGCCGAGCCAAGCATCTGCTGGGCCCTCTGCAGACCCAGCACATCCCCCTGAGCAGCCCAGCCCAGCTCTCCCATCTCCCAGCCTCTGCCAGGGCACAGCGGGCTCCTGGGCACTCAGGTCCTGCAGAGCCAAGGACATGTCAGTGCTGCACAGCCTCTCCAGGACATGTCAGTGCTGCATGGCCTCTCCAGGACATGTCACTCCTGCACAGCCTCTCCAGGACATGTCACTCCTGCATGGCCTCTCCAGGACATTTTCCCAGGCTCATCCTCCCCAGGCAACCCCAGGAGCACCCAGCCTGTCCATTCTCCCCTCCAGTCCTACAACAAACCCATGACAGGCCAAGGTTCCTTTTATTCAACCCCAAGCTGAGCTCAAGGACCTGCAGCAAACCCGTCTCCCCCCAGACCCCAGGCCAGGCCTTGGTCAGCAGCTTCAGGGCTTTTTGCTGCCTGTGCCCACTCCCAGCAGCCTGGCTTTGGGAGGCACTGATGCTGTCAGCAAGAACGGAGCCAAAACCTCATTTCTTCCCCTGTCCTAACTGGGCAGTGCCAAAGCCACCAGCAATGGATGTCCCCCCAAAGGAGAGGGACAAACAACAGAGGCTGGGTCTGAACTGCTCAGCTGCAGTCCAGCTCTGGTTCTGGGCTCCTCTGTTAAGCAGAGATCTTGTTTTGGTTTAAGTGGTCCCCAGCAGCACAGAGCAGCACAGAGAGGAGGATGGCAGCAGCAGCAGCAGCCTGTCAGCTCATCCCCACCCAGGGGCTGAGCCCCAGGTCCTTCCCTACGTGTGTTTTCCAGCACTGCATGCAGCCTGCTCTCCCAGCATTGCATGCAGCCTGCTCTTCCATCACTGCATCCAGCACTGCATGCAGCCTGCTCTCCCAGCACTGCCTGCAGCCTGCGCTCCCAGCACTGCATGCAGCCTGCTCTTCCATCACTGCATCCAGCACTGCATGCAGCCTGCGCTCCCAGCACTGCATGCAGCCTGCGCTCCCAGCACTGCATGCAGCCTGCGCTCCCAGCACTGCATGCAGCCTGCGCTCCCAGCACTGCATGCAGCCTGCGCTCCCAGCACTGCATGCAGCCTGCGCTCCCAGCACTGCATGCAGCCTGCGCTCCCAGCACTGCATGCAGCCTGCGCTCCCAGCACTGCATGCAGCCTGCGCTCCCAGCACTGCATGCAGCCTGCGCTCCCAGCACTGCATGCAGCCTGCGCTCCCAGCACTGCATGCAGCCTGCGCTCCCAGCACTGCATGCAGCCTGCGCTCCCAGCACTGCATGCAGCCTGCGCTCCCAGCACTGCATGCAGCCTGCGCTCCCAGCACTGCATGCAGCCTGCGCTCCCAGCACTGCATGCAGCCTGCGCTCCCAGCACTGCATGCAGCCTGCGCTCCCAGCACTGCATGCAGCCTGCGCTCCCAGCACTGCATGCAGCCTGCGCTCCCAGCACTGCATGCAGCCTGCGCTCCCAGCACTGCATGCAGCCTGCGCTCCCAGCACTGCATGCAGCCTGCGCTCCCAGCACTGCATGCAGCCTGCGCTCCCAGCACTGCATGCAGCCTGCGCTCCCAGCACTGCATGCAGCCTGCGCTCCCAGCACTGCATGCAGCCTGCGCTCCCAGCACTGCATGCAGCCTGCGCTCCCAGCACTGCATGCAGCCTGCGCTCCCAGCACTGCATGCAGCCTGCGCTCCCAGCACTGCATGCAGCCTGCTCTTCCATCACTGCATCCAGCACTGCATGCAGCCTGCTCTCCCAGCACCGCATCCAGCACTTCATCCAGCCTGCTCTCCCACCTCCCCGAGCTCCTACCACACAGATTTTTCAGCTGCTCCAGCGGGAATGAAACGCTCTTCCCGATTTTCCCTTCCCCATCCTCCAGCCACCCTCCAGTCTCGAGGAGCTGGGGAAGGAGCTCTGCAGGCAGGCAGGAGAGGTTCCAGTGGGGAAGGAGCTCTGCAGGCAGGCAGGAGAGGCTCCACTGGGGAAGGAGCTCTGCAGGCAGGCAGGAGAGGTTCCACTGGGGAAGGAGCTCTGCAGGCAGGCAGGAGAGGCTCCACTGGGGAAGGAGCTCTGCAGGCAGGCAGGAGAGGTTCCACTGGGGAAGGAGCCATGTCCCCCCTGCCCAGCCCTGGCTCCCAGAACGTTCTGCTCCGTTTGACAGCGGCCCCGTTTCCCCAGACAGGGCTCCCTTTTGATCTCCGGAGCGAGCTCTGGGGAGGGGGCAGGGCAGGGATGGAGGCTGCTTCCCTCTGGAAGGGTTTCCAGTCCTACAGGTGTTTTTTCACTCAGCCAGGGAGCAGCAGTGATTTCCTTGGCTGCCTCTGCTCCCCTCGCCACGCCAGGAGCGGCCACGGCAGCGCCAGCAGAGCCACGGGGTCACTGCTCCTCTTCCAGGGCTTCTCTTCCAGAGCCTCCCCTTCCAAAGGCTCCTCTTCCAGGGCTTCTCTTCCAGGGCCTCCCCTTCCAAAGGCTCCTCTTCCAGGGCTCCTCTTCCAGGGCCTCCCCTTCCAAAGACTTCTCTTCCAGAGCCTCCCCTTCCAAAGGCTCCTCTTCCAGCGCTTCTCTTCCAGAGCCTGCCCTTCCAAGGCTCCCCTTCCAAAGGTTCCTTTTCCAAAGGTTCCTTTTCCAGAGCCTCCCCTTCCAAAGGCTCCTCTTCCAAAGGCTCCTCTTCCAGAGGCTCTTCCAGAGCCAGCCCAGCTGTGCCCGAACTAGAGCTGCTCCCAGGGCCAGTGTGAGATGGAGAGGGGCACATCCTGCTGGGATGCAGAGGGGCAGATCCTGCTGGGATCTTTGGCATGGAGAGGGGCAGGTCCTGCCTGGAGCCCGTCACCACCCCAGGGATGCAGGAGGTGCAGGAGCAGCCCCTCCACAAGGCACAGGACCACCAGGCTGCAGGAAAAGGGGTCCCAGGAGATGCTGCAGCCCTGGCTCCTCCAGCAGGACACGAGGGGCTGATGGGATCCTGAATTCCAGCCAGCCCTTGCCTCCCTTCCCACCCCCAAATCCCAAAGCGCACTCTGGGCCCCAGCCAAAGCCCCACACTGCCCAGGAGCAGCTCCAAATCCAGGTGAGCATCCACCAGGGCCCATCCCATTTGGGAATGGTTTGCCACATGAGGTGGATCCTCCTGGTCCCAAGCAGAGCTGGGAACACAGGAACTGCTCTCCCCGTGGCACAGGGATGCTGCTGGAACCACAGCAGGGTGGGAGCTCTGTCACTGCTGGGGACACAAACCTTGGGGGTAGCCCCCTCCTGTCACCCCCTTTTCACAGCAAGGAACAGCCCCAAAGCACAGAAACCTCAGCTCCTCACCATTCCAACGGAATTCCAGCATCAGCACAGCCTGGGCTAAAATTCCTGCACAGCTCTGGAGGGAACAGGGGCTCCCCAAGGGTTTAATAAAAACCAGGGGAGAGCAGCAAAAGCCCCAGCTCCTAATTTCCATTCTGTCTCACCTCAAAGTGGGAGCAGAAAATAAAACTTTGCTTTACTCAGGGCTTCCTGGGAACCCCTCTGTTGAAAAGCTGGGGAAATCCCTGAAACTCCAGGAGCCAAGGGGCAGGATTCAGATCTGAGTGCTTCCTGCAAAGCCCAGAGCTCCTCACCCTGCCCTCAGCCCACACAAATCAAAGTGGGAAGGCCAAAGGAAAGGAACAGAATGAGTTCACTTGACCCCATGCCAAAAACATCCACCTGTGCCAGCTCAGGCACTTTTTTAGGATGAATCCAAAGCAATCCCTTGGTTTCACGTGGCTTGGGTAAAGTTCAGCCCATTCCCAGCCAGGCCCCCCAGGTTCTGCTCCCTGCACTCAGTTCTCAAGCACAAACTTGGAATTACAAGGGCCACAACCTCAGCAGGGACAGCAGAACAGAAAATGTGTGTCCCAGGGGCCTCAGGCCTGATGGAACAAACCTGTTCATGAACCTGTGGAGGCATCACCTGGAACTCACCTGCACCAGAAACATTTCAGGGATAACACAAACAGAGCAGATAGGAAAAAAAAATCAAAGAAATCATAAGGAGGTGCAGTTTAAAGGGTTCCCAGCAAAATCTGAGGCATTTCTGCTGCTAGGAAAGAGTTACTGGGCAGGAGAGGGTTACATCAAAGAGAGGATTTAGGATTTTCTATAGAGTGACACCAGCACTCAACATCCTCTGAGAGAATTCTGCCTTCAGAGCATCACTGGGGCACAAGGAGGGAAGAAACAGGAACATTCTGCGCAATCAGGATGCAGGACAGATCCCCACAATGCATCTTTACAAAGCAGAACATGAAGTATGTGCTTTAAGAAGGCTCCAGGACAAACTGCTGCCCTTGGAGATTCCCTGGATGGGTCACTGGGAATCCACCCCTGGCAGAGGCTGAGCTGGGCTGCAAGCCCACGGAGCAGGATCCAGCCTCACACAGCTGCTCTGCTTTGGGTGTTCAGCAGCCAGAGAGTGCAGGTTGAGGGATGGAGGTGGGTATTACTGACAGCTAATTAGTCTGATATTAACAACAAAGCCTTTAAGTAAACGGCCTGCAAAACCTCATTTACTCAACCTGGAGACAAACTCATTAACTGCAGGCTCCATTACCCAGCCCACTTCGCCAGTCGTAAAGAAAGTTTAAAAATCCTGTTTATAGCAAAGAACTGGAAGGCAAATCAAGAGATAAAAAAACCCAAAAAACAACAAACCAAACCCTAAACAGAGAAACCTTCTGCAGATTCCATCTCTATAGGAACGGTGCCATAAATGCATAAGAGAAAACTCAGCAGCCCCATTCTCCCTGACAGGCTCCTTTTTTTCCCTTTAAAGGAGCAGATGCCAGCACGATAAGCCCGTGTGAACCTTTCATATTAAACATGTCACCGAGACATTCTGCCTGAAAAAAAGTAGGAACACCCCTAAAATCCACCTTGAAGGCTGCAGCCTGCCTTTTTTTTTTTTTTTTAATCATCAAGCAATTACAGTAATTAAGAGGCAATCCCTCTCTCGCCCTGCAAGGCTCCCTCCGAGGAGATAAAGGAAAAGCAGAGCCTCCTCCTGCACCCCCAGTGCCAGACACAGCTCCCACCCCACAGCCCTCCCTCCTTAATTTCAATTAAGTTCCACTCAGGGGAAAGGAGAAGAAAGGGGAAGGGGATGGGGGAGGGAGAAGCAGCACTTACCCTTCGGGGACTCACTTCGGGCTTTCTTGCTCTCCAAAGGACACTCACTGCTGCTGTTGGGAGAACATACTCTTCTCTTGCCTAAAATTTCATCTGGGAGAGAGATGAGAGAGCTGAGTGTCAGGGAAGGCTGCACTTTCCTCCTTGCAGGAGCGACCAGAGAGACTTTGGTATTTTGCTGCTCTCTCTCACACACAGACACACACACACACTGATATTACCAGCAGAGAGAGAGAAAAAAATGAAAGTAAGAAAAATCATCATCTTGAGAGCCTTGATCTGCTTTCCTAATCACGCAGCCCAAAAGCACATAATGACTATTCATACACTGATCAATGCAACGTTTTCCAGCCATAAATTCTGAATCCAGTTGATTTCCTTACTGAGTTTCATCATTTGCTCTGGTGCCTTTTGTCCCCCCGGTGTTTCCACTCCTTTCATGCCCTGATGCAAAGCAACTGGGGGAGAGGAAGGGGAGGAAAAAAACAACACAGGGAAGAAAAAAAAAAAGAAAAAAAGAAAAAAAGCACAACAGATCTCTGAATCTTCCTACCACAGTATCTGTCTCTCTCTCTCTGTCTCTCTCTCTCTCTCAGTCTCTCCCCCTCCCTCCCCCCTCCTCCTTCAAAACCTCAAGGTCCTCAGCAATCTTCCCCCTCTGGATTGCACGGAAACACTCAAGCCTTTTGCATTACTGCAGCCCTCCGAAGCAACACCAAATCTCTAATACACAATTACAGCGTCCCCGAGCAGATTTCGAATCAATATCCTCCCCTAATAACGCTGGGGAAACTGAAAGCATGATGGTGCATATGGGCAGGAAGGAAGAGCCTGTTTGTCACTGCAAGCATCAAATTCTCATCTATCAAGGGCTCGTTAAAGATGCAGCATCTTAAAAGAAAGAAAATTATAATAATAATAAAAAAAAAAACCCTCATAAACAAGCAGCACATTTGAGTGAGAAAGGATTAGATCTGCCTGTGAGCCCAAACACTGCCAGGCTGCTGCAATGTGCCCGGAACGTGGGGGTTAAGGAAGGTTACAAACCCCCTCGGTCCTATTTATAACAACAACAACATCCTCGCTGTTCCAGGGGACATTTCCAGCCAAGCAACTGTCCCCTGCACTCAGGATCACTCCCATCACTGGCAATGCAGCTGAGCAGCCCAGGTTGCTGCCGTGGCAGGGATTTATCGGGGATCAGAGCACAGGGCTGAGCAGAGCAGCCCCAGCAGGTGCCTCTGCCCAGCGAGCTCCAAGCGGCATTTCAAGGCTTTAAAGAGCACAGGCTGCCTCCAAACTCAGCTTGCCACGACCCTGTCACCAAATCCCTCGACAAAACTGGCACTGGGGACGATGCAGAAGCCAAAGCCAAGGGAGCCCAGCAGAACAGGGGGACTGGGGAGAGCCAGGGAAGAAGGACAGAAGCACCCCTGACAGCCCTGGAGCTCTCTCAGCACCCACATCACAGCTGCCTGTCCACACAACTGGAATTTTCTCCCTCCCCCTGCCTCAGTTTACCCCTCACACAGCTCCTGCACAGCGTTCCAAGCTCGGGGGGAGCACAGGCAGAGCCCCCAGCTCCCTCCCCCTGGAATGCTCCATCCCTCACGCTGATTTTCCTGGAAGCTTTGCCCTGACACTGCAAACCCTCGGCGCTGGAGGCCAAGATCACAAATCCTGCTCCTCCTCAGGGCTGTTCTCAGCCAGGATTTGTGGCTTTGGAACAACTCGAGCCCCTCCGCTCGCCCCTCCCAGCCCGGGCTGGAGGCAGAGGAGTCTCCATGGAAAAGAGCTGGTGACAGAAGCACGGGCTCCATGTGACAGCAGTTGGAATGTGAGCAGTGAAGATTCCTTGGTTTCACAGCTCTGCCAAGGCACCTCGTTCTCCCCATCCCTGCTTCCCTCCCGCTGCTCCTCTCCCACCCCCGGGCCCATCTGCCGGCAGACACTGCTCCGGGCCCTGCTATTCCCAGCCATTCCCAGATATTCCCAGCCCATTCCCTGCTACTCCCAGCCATTCCCAGTGTTCCCAGCCATTCCCAGATATTCCCTGCTATTCCCAGTTCCCAGCCTATTCCCAGACATTCCCAGTTTTCCCAGCCATTCCCATATATTCCCAGCCCATTCCCAGTTTTCCCAGCCATTCCCATATATTCCCAGCCATTCCCATGCTATTCCTAGCCCATTCCCAGTTTTCCCAGCCATTCCCATATATTCCCAGCCATTCCCATGCTATTCCTAGCCCATTCCCAGTTTTCCCAGCCATTCCCAGCCCATTCCCCAACACCATCAGCCCCATCTCCCTCCCAGCCGGGGCAGGGTAGGATCAGGATCCCGCAGGAGCTCTGGCCTGGCACCAGCTCCCTGTGCCCCATCCCTCAGGGCAGCAGCCCGGGGTGATACCTGGCACTGGCACAGAGGGGGGGTCCAGCAGTCCCCATTCCCTGCAGAGACCCCACATTTATCCCCAGGGGACCCTCCCAGCCCCTCAGCTTCACCGAGCCCCACGTGCTGAGGCTGCATTTGGGCTGCCCCTGCCGCAGTTCTGTGACTGAATCTCAGAATTTCCTCTTTTTTATTTGTTTCTTCAGTTCAGGCAAAGCCCTGCAGTGTGGCAGAGACGCCTCTGGCCCCAGAAGCGTGGGGGCTAAATCAGCAAGAGACACAGTGAGCAAGGAAAGGGAATAAAGAGCAGCATTAAGATCATCACAAAGATGTAACAACCAACCCCAAAAAGGTACCGAGCCAGGAGCAAGCACAGGACTGAACTCCACTTTTCTGAGTCCCAGCTCAGTGTTTTAAGAAGTCAAACCCCACCTCTGCTCCCTGAGCTGCAGAGGCAGGTCCCACTTGCTTTAATGACTCAATTAACAGCCAGCTCCAGGGTTCAACCCCGCAGCAAGGCTCCAGCACCCATCCTCTCCTCCTCACCACCCCAGCACAGCTCTGCCAGCCCACCTCCACTGCCCAGCCCCTCCAGGGCACCCTGCACTGCCCACCCAGCCCTGCATCTCCACCCAAGCCATCTGTGCCCTCCTGACACAAAGGGCCAGGGCACCGAGATGGGAGCAGGCAGTGGCCACCCCCCCGGCTTTGCAGCAGCAGCAGCAAAACCAAATATGTTTTGCAAATGAGCTGGCAGAGCAGCTCCTGGATGTCTCAGCACCCTCCCAGAGACAGGCTGTGCATTTAGTGCCTTGCTGCTCAAGGAGCACAAAGCCCCAGGGCAGATTCTGCTCCTCAGCCCAGGCACCTGCAGAAGGCAGCAGCCACCTGAACGGGTGGGGAGGCATTTGGGGTTTTGTTCCCCAAATCCCCGCTTCTGCCTCCTCTGCCCTGCCTTCCTGCAGAGCACTGCAGCTGAAAGGAAGCCAAATCAGGGCAGTTTTTAATATTACAGCTGAAAATGAAAGACATTATCAGTAGAAGTGTAGAGTTATGAAGCCAGGCCGGGCAATAACAGCAGGGAGGGGGGCTGAGGGAAGCCCCAGGCAAACTGAGCACCCACTGCCAGCCACCCCGAGCACAAACCCGCTCAGCCAGGCCTGCCACACAGGTCCCAGACCCCACATCACATCCCAGGCTCCTGCTGGCCTGCCAAGGCAGCTCAGAGGGAGCATTTGGAGACAAAGTCCAACGTTTCCCCCAGAGCTGCAGAAATCAGAGTGGACTTTTTCCCTCCTCTCCTTCAGGGGAGGCCCAGCACTCACCTGCTGCACTCCTGCAGAGGGGCATGCAGACAGGAATGGGCAGGACAGCCCCTGTGTGCCCTGCTGGGGCTCAGCCAGGCTCTGCAGCAGCAGGAGAAGGGAGGTGGGCACAGCCCCCCGAGGCAGCTGGTGAGGCAGCCAGCCTGGGGGGTGCTCTGCCTCCTGCCCTGCTCTAATCCTCAGCCTCCCTGCACTCAGCAGGGCTGCCTGGCTTAAGAGGCATCCTCACCAACACATCTAAGAAGCCCAAGCCTCCTGATCAGCTTTCAGGAGAGGACTCGGGAGCCTAAGTCTGGGGAGATTAGAAACCCTATCCCCAGCCTTCCCCAAAGACTGAGGGGCTTTATCCCACCCGGCACAGGGAATCTGCAGCAGGACACTCCTGGGGAGAGCTGAGCAGGGGGGGTCACCTGGAGAAGGGGAATCCAGGAGGTTTTTGCTGAAGGGGCTGCAAAGGGTCCCAGTTTCGGGGGACCAGGGACTGCAACAAATTCCTGTGCACTGTGCTCCTGCTCCAGCACAAAGGGAAGGGATGCAGACCTATCTCACGCTCCCCATCCCAGCACTGGGGCTGCTCTGAAAGCTTCTTGGACCACGAGATCCTGAGTAAACAGAGAATGGAGCCAACTTCCTCGGGAAACCACCCAGGCTGGGCCAGCCAACAGCAACGAGACCACAGCCCCTCTCCCATCTCCCTTCCCATTATTTTAAGAGGGGGAAAAACATCCTCTCTGGCTCTTAACCCCAGCCCTGGAGAGGACAATCCCCACTGGGCAGCCTGAGATGCCTTGGCAGCCTCTCCCCACTCTCCTTTGGCAGGGACGGCTCCCAACAGAGGAGCTGCTGAGCTCCATCCCAGGCACTCCTCGTGTCCCTGTGCCCAACACCACAGCTCTGGGGACACCCTGGGCACCCCCTTTCCCAGCCATGGGGCTTTTGTGAGGAGCTGCCCCAGCTAGTGGGGCTCAGCAGGCCCAGAGCTGCTCCCAACAAAAGCTGGGAGAGGAGGATCCATCCATGGGCACCGGCCCTGGCCAGCAGGAATCCTCAGAACAAAGGCAGGGGAAGAACAAGGTCATGGGAAGAACAGGCCATGATTTAACTGGGGGCAACAAAAATGGGGGGAAAAAAATTACTGGGGAAGCTGGGGGCAGGGAAGCAGTCAGCTTCTGGGATTTGGGATCCTGGAACAATCCCAGAGCAGCTCCCGGGGCAGGGAGAGCTCCAGCAGCAAAGGAGGGGACAGGGAATGTTGCTGGGTCTCTAATGCCAAACCAGCTGCAAAACAAAGGCAGCAATCCCCTGGCAGCAGGTCAGGAAATGGTGCTGGGACATGGCAGGAGCAGCTCCAGCCTCAGTGACCGCCCTGGGTTGTCTCCC